ATGTGCTTGATGGCGTACTGTATCGCGTAAGTAAAGACAACCTTGCAGGAAAGAAACGGTTACAGTTCGTTGTTCCGTCCTCTTTAATTACGCAGGTGATGACAGGCGTCCACGATGAAGCAGGGCACCAGGGCCAAGGTAGAACTATGCACCTGGCAAGACAAAGGTTTTTTTGGGTTGGGTTGGAACGCGACGTTCGTAGGTATGTTAAGTGTTGCAAGCGCTGTGTTGTCAGTAAGACACTCGAACCTGAAGGTAGAGCCCCGTTAGAGAGCGTTAAAACGTCAAGCCCAATGGAGCTAGTATGTATCGATTTTTGGACCGCGGAAAGCTCCAAAGGCCGTAATGTGGACGTGTTGGTCGTAACTGATCATTTTTCCCGTATGGCACATGCCTTTCCATGTCGTGATCAGTCAGCAAAGCAGGTAGCCCGTCAGTTGTGGGACCGATATTTTTGTGTGTACGGCTTCCCTGACAGGATCCACTCGGATCAGGGGGCCAACTTTGAGAGCCAACTGATCCGAGAATTGCTGCAGGTTGCCGGAGTGAAAAAGTCAAGAACAACTGCTTACCATCCGATGGGCAATGGCGTCGTTGAACGGTTCAATAGAACTTTGGGTAACATGGTCAGAGCACTGCCGCCGAGGTCTAAAGAAAAGTGGTCACAGTTGCTTCAGACACTAACGTTCGCATACAATTGTACAGCGCACGAGTCCACTGGCTACGCTCCATTCTATTTAATGTTTGGTAGGATCCCGAAGCTACCCGTGGATGTGATGTTTAGCAATGTTGACAGAGACTGTGATGTTGTTGATTACGATAAGTATGTGAAAAGGTTGCAAGACAATTTGAAAGAGGCTATGACCGTCGCTCAGGGGAACATTGATGCCAGTCAGCAGCGTCAGGCTGAGTTGTACAACCGGAAGACGAAGGGCTGTAACATTGAGTTGGGTGATCAAGTTCTCCTGGCCAACAAAGGTGAACGTGGGAAAAGAAAATTAGCAGACAGGTGGGAGTCCACACCCTATAGGGTAGTAGCGCTGAACCCCCAGTGCCACATTTATCGCATTCGTAACACCAAAACGGGCCAGGAGAAAACTGTTCATCGTAATTTGCTGTTGCAAGCCAACTTCTTGCCGCTCGAGTTGGGAGGTCCTGAATCACCTGGGGATAGTGGTGAATCTGTCCTTGGAAGCAGGAGTGCATCCTTGGATAATGTTAGTTCTGCAGCTGAGATGTGTTCTGTCCCTGACCGAGTTGCCAGTTGGGTGGAAAGAACCACAATTTCTGAAGATCCTCAGCAGAGATTGTCCTACAGATCTGATAGTGCTGGTTCATTGGATGTAGTCCCCGAGTCATTGGTTCAGGAGCAATTGTCGTCAAAAGATGATTATACCAAAGGAAACAGCAATGTAGTCATTCCAGATGAAGGACTGAGTAGTGATTCTTGCAGTTCGCTTTCTGAGGCAGTTCTCCATGATGACCGTTGCGTTTCACCTGCTAGAGTTGTTGAGCCACTTCCTAGTCAAGGAGAAGCGATAGTTCGAACCAGAGTGGGTAGGATGGTGAGACCTGTCAACAGGTTGATAGAGAATATGGCTCAATCTATCAGAACACTGAATCCAGTTGGTGGGGTTGTAAGATCTTTATTGAAATAAGAATGTATTGTATTAAACCATTACATTGTAATACAATATTGTTTTCTTTAAGTTTTAAGGTTAAGTCTCTGTGAGTCAGTGCATTTCAGCACATTTGTTGTTCCAGATCCAAGATTAAGTTGAGATGAATGGTGTTTAAGGCACCTTTTGCGGGTGATTGCAGTGGGCCTGATCAACCTTATGTACACACCTTCCCTGCGAGTGGGAAACATTTTGTTGCACCATGTTCTGGAAAACAGTTGGTCTAAATAGCTCCAGTGTATACAATCCCTGTATAAGACAAAATTTGTGAAGTTCAGGGTGGAGAATGTAACTGGTGAAAATTAACCTTTGACTTGTTTTTTATTGTATTATTTTTTTTCTGTATTTTACTGTTTAAGTTTTCCTATTTTTGTATTTAGAATGGCTTAATGAACCTCACAAAATTTTGTTCACATTATTGTTCATGAGTAAGAGAACATAACGTTAAAATAGCGGAACTTTTCCCTGAGTGTTTGTTTGGGGAGGGAGCGTCATCGGTGGAACACTTCCGGGGTTTCTCCTCGTGCGGTCTGTAATAGCCTCAGTCTACCTGAGTGAGAGGCTCGTGAGCGCACGCAATGTTGCTTCTCTCCATGAATGTTACTGGTATGATGATGTTTATTGTCTGAAGGCATAATTATTGCTCAATAATTGTGATTTGAGTGTGCTTAATCATTTGAGTGTGTTACTCGTGATGAATGTGTGTAGTAGTACGAGTTTATACAACTCATTATGGTGCTAACTGATTAGTATCTTATGCACAGAGTGTTACACGAGAGAGAGAGAAGCTGAAGCCCCGTTGATCCACTGATGATCTCTCTGTTTACAGGTGTGTTGTTTAATTAGTTCTGTTTTGTGAAAGGAAAGAGATCTGGTTGACTGTTAATAAATATGTACTGTATTAAGAGTGTTATCGGGGAATCGAATCAGATTCGTGCGTGACGCACGTGGTGCGGCCTGCATATGGTATGCTGCTAAATGTGCATTGAGCTTTTCTTTTGGATTTATGTTTACAAATTATATTATAATTTATTGATTGTTTTTCATAGCATGTTATTTTATATAAATATCTGAATTAATGCATATAAATACTTGAATTAATGCTTATGGTCATGTAATTTAGTATAAAATTGATGTACTATACATTATTGTAGTGTATTAATAAGAGTACTAATGTGATATGTCACAAGGAGGATTATGAATGCGTAACATTTATTATTTTATTTACATGTTTTATTTATTTATTTTTCTTAAAAGGTCTGTAATAGCCTCAGTCTACCTGAGTGAGAGGCTCGTGAGCGCACGCAATGTTGCTTCTCTCCATGAATGTTACTGAGTGTTACACGAGAGAGAGAGAAGCTGAAGCCCCGTTGATCCACTGATGATCTCTCTGTTTACAGATTAAAAAGGAAAAACATTGGATCTCATCGCTGTGTGGTCGTGTGGTCATTTGGGTTAAAGAGTCCGTTCCAGACATGCTACATAATTTGGTGCCGTGACCCGGATGCACCAGATCTGCTGCAGCTGATCGCTGGGGTTCGACAACGCGGGATCACAACGCTTCTGAAATCGACAACCATAGAATCTTCATCGTTGACGTTTTGATGGTAGTGTCTGGACATTGATAGTACTGAACTCTCACTTCACACACCACGCACACCCTCGTTGGACTGTTGTGTTTATTTTCCTTGTTTTCTTCTTCGCTTGGAAAAGCGTACGATAATTGAAAAGTTAATTTTCATTTATGATTTTCATTGTTGTCATTCCCCATATCTAATATGGCTGAAGGGAGATGGAATGAAGACCTGGTAACACCACAAATATCGATACTTAAGGATCGATCCGCCCATCCCTACTGATGGTAATCTCTTTTCACATTGATCACATGTGAACGGCGTCTCTCCAGTGTGGATCCTCGTGTAATGCTCAACAATAAAACTAATTATATTATAAAACGATTATAAAACACCACTCTGCTTCTTTTCGATTTAATTTAAATACATTTTAAACATTATAAGCACACAACTCATGTTTGTGTTTGTAGCTCTGGAGAATTTCTTCACTAATCCTTGATTTTCTTCTTTACCACTTATTTATAAACAAGCACTTTCTATTTTTATATCATGTGAACTTATCCTCGATACTATTCCTTATAAAAAACAATTGGATTGCTTTGATATCGCTACTTATATCTAACCTTCCTAATCCCGGCTACTAGCCTTTAGCCCGTTAGCATTCCACGCGTGGCCTATTGGCCGTCTCATTTTACACCCGTTTCACTGAATCCTGGTTATTTCCGGCATTTCAGTCCTAAATTAGTAGTGATAGTTGTAGTATCACTACTAACTTACTGTTCATCTGTTATAATGGCGAACACATCAGATGCGTGTCTAACATTACCTCTGAGTGCAGGTGAGGACACGTTCGAGCTCTTCACGGTGAAGCAGGAGCTGGAATACGTCGAGAAACAGATCCGTGGTCTGCTGGTGAAGCAAGCCGAGCTGTTGGATCGGCGCTCAACGCTTGAAGCATCACGCGCAAATCAGTGGTTAGTAACGTTAACTCTTTGACTCCGACTTCGTCTACTCCGTATGTTACTCTGCCCAGGAGGACGCGATCATCTCGGGCTTCATTCACTCCGGCACCGAAACAGCAACATGGACCATGGATCACACAGCGGAAGACACGAGCCAGGACCAGAGCTGCCTCTCCGCCCCTCCCGGTCTTCGAGATCTCCACCCGGAACCGCTTCTCCCCTCTTCGCGAGCCGGAACGCGACGACGCCGTGATCATCGGCACATCCATGGTCCGTCACGTCCGCGCTACTACTTCGGGGAAAGGTAAGGTGTGCACTCACTGCTTTCCTGGTGCTCATGTTCTTGATGTCGCTGCACAGGTTCCCGAGATCCTGAACGGGGACGAGCGCGTCGGAGCTGTTGTGCTGCACGCGGGAGCGAACGACATCAGGCTGTGGCAGACGGAGGTTCTGAAGAAGGACTACAGGAGCCTGATCGAGACGGTACGCAGCACAGCGCCTAAAGCAGCGATCATCGTGTCTGGACCGCTTCCCACGTACAGACAAGGACAGGAAAGGTTCAGTAGACTATTTACGCAGAACTAGTAAGTCAAAGTCCAAATCACAGCCTTTGCGGCCCAAACTTACCTAATATGCATAGTGTGGAACATTATATAGAAACATTATATAGGATCTAGCAAAAATCTTATTGTAATTAAACCAGAAAATCTAAATATCGGTGAACAAAAACAATTTCTAAAGCTAGGTCTTCTAAACATTAGATCGCTCACACCTAAGGCGGTTATTGTAAATGAAATGGTCACAGAAAATAACTTATCTGTTGGAGGAGGAGCTGTAACTGTATATAATGAAGAGGAGGAGCTGTAACTGTATATAATGATGAGGAGGAGCTGTAACTATATATAATGAAGAGGAGGAGCTGTAACTATATATAATGACGAGGAGGAGCTGTAACTATATATAATGAAAGAGGGGGAGGAGCTGTAACTGTATATAATGAAGAGGAGGAGCTGTAACTATATATAATGAGGAGGGGGAGCTGTAACTATATAATGAAGAGGAGGAGCTGTAACTATATAATGAAGAGGAGGAGCTGTAACTGTATATAATGAAGAGGAGGAGCTGTAACTATATATAATGATGAGGAGGAGCTGTAACTATATATAATAAGAGGAGGAGCTGTAACTGTATATAATGAAGAGGAGGAGCTGTAACTCTATATAATGAAGATGAGGAGCTGTAACTATATAATGAAGAGGAGGATCTGTAACTTTATATAATGAAGAGTTGGAGCTGTAACTATATAATGAAGAGGAGGAGCTGTAACTATATAATGAAGAGGAGGAGCTGTAACTACATAATGAAGAGGAGGAGCTGTAACTATATAATGAAGAGGAGGAGCTGTAACTATATAATGAAGAGGAGGAGCTGATGATGTTTAAAGGAGGAGCTGTAACTGTATATAATAAAGAGGAAGACAGACAGAAACGGACAGAAGCAGAAATGTCTGATCAGTGTGATCTGTGTCTGCTGGGACTGATCATTCTCTCTTCACTTCTCACAGGTAAAGAAATCTGTATTTTCTCTAAACACATTTAGTGGAATTAGTCTGGAAAGAGTTGATTTGAACATGCTCAGTTTATTCTTGCACACATTCACGTTGTGATCTCAGAGTTGTGTATTGATACACACAGATCATACTGTATTATTCCTGATACTGGACATAGTGTCAAAGGGTAACACTTTACAATAAGGCTACATGAATAATCATGTACTAATACCTGAATTAATACTTTATTAAACATGAACTAATAATTATTGAAGGCACGACCGAATCATGAACCAATGAAGAGTTATCTTGAACTACGACTGTCATTACGGATTCACACATGAATAACGGCAGCCTTCACTACATGTTATACATGTTTGATAATTAATTAATTCATTAACATTTATGGATAAACTTAATCAAACCAGAGATACAGGAAGTGGGGGTGCAGCAGCTGCAGCTTTTGTGTTCATTTCTATTTCCTGTATCTGTGTACGCTCTTCTATTGTGTGTTTCAGTGTAAACAGCCCAATAACCCTTTTATTTAAAGGGTTAATTTATGTCCTGTAGACCAGTCCGTTACATTACGATTGAAAGCAGTATCAATAATGTCGAAAATAATGTCAAAAATTTGATGCGAGTCATTCTAGCAAACTGCCATTTGGGTCCGCAACGTTTGATGAGATGTTTAAGGCACAAAATGTCCCAAAATGTGTTTATAAAGCTTAAAGTTATTAATTCAAGTTTTTTTTTTGTTAACATGATATGTGATAAAATTCTGTTTTTAAAGAATAACATACTATTTTTAATAATTTGTCATTAGTACATAAACTGTGTTCAGTTTAGACAAGTGTTCTCATCGATACGCTTGTTGTGATTTGCGGAGTTTTGACGAGTTTTATAGACTTTCAAAAATTCAAAATTGGTGACCTAAAAAAAAAGGAAAGAAGTAGCGAGTAGAAATAAGGTGTGGCCCCTTTAAGAGCTGCGCGCTCCCGGTTGAATGCTCTGCTTTTGTATGTGCGTCTCGATCACACCATGCGGGTTATTTCTGTCTGATGCTCTTTTTAAAGTAATTGTGTTTAGTTTTGCTGCAGCTGAGCAGCCGATCGCGTATCATTAATTTTTTTTTTTAAACTCTTTGACCACCGACCGGTCTTCGGCCTGAATTGGACCGGCTGTTCGGGATTGTTCCCGGTATTCCCGATGGCCAATCCGCCCCTGCCTTGTGTGTGCAGACCTCTATGGTACATGATTATTCATAAACCCTTATTGTAAAGCGTTACCGGAAAAATACTGTATGATTGTAATCTTCTGCTTGTTATGCTGGTATGGTTTATGGTTTGATTTATTAATAAATATCATAATTATCACTGAGATCTACTGTGTTTCAGGCACCAGTGGAGTGGATCGTGTGTTCATCAGTTCTGGTGTAGATGTCCGTCTGTCCTGTAATAATGCTCTTTCTGACTGCAAATCAACTACATGGATCTACTCTAACATATTCAGACGTCCACAGATAGTTGAACTGATTGAGTTAGGGATAAAGAATGAAGACACAGAGAGACATGAGAGACTGAGTCTGGAGTCTGACTGCTCTCTGAACATCAAGAACGCCACAGGAGAAGATTATGGATTATACACCTGCCAACAATATGTGAGCAGACGACAACACCAACCAGAAACTGAAGCACATGTTTATCTGCATGTTCTTCATGGTAAGTTTATGATTATATGGTCAGTTTAAAAAGGGCAGATTCTTTATTAAACTCAGATGATGATTGAAGAGTCTGTGATTTGTGTCTTGTGTTCAGTTTCAGTGTCATCATCATCATCATCATCATCATCTTCATCCTCACAGACTGAGATCAGTCCAGGCCGCTCTGTGACTCTCTCCTGTCAGTTGTATTTATATTCTGGATTCTCCTGTAATTATTGGGTTCGTTCTGAGGGATTTGAGCTGTTGTGGGTGAATCAGGCTGGTGTTGATCTGAAGACAGACTCCAGATATCAGATATCATCATCATCATCATCATCATCATATCGCTGTATCATCACTCTGACTACAACACTCCTGAATGAAGATAACAACAGAGAGTGGAGATGTCAGCTTACTCTCAGAAATCAACTCCAGACGTCAGTCACATACACTGTTAAGTATTCAGGTGAGAAACACTGTTAGAAGACAGATTTGAGAAAACTTCCACAGACTGGCTCTACTCTTGATGATGACTTCATACGTTTGGAAATTGTAAAATATTAGTATTAACCTCATACATGGATCATATATGAAATATTTTATACATCTATTAAAGCCTAGTATGACCCATGTAGGAGGTCAGCTTTAGGAGTTATACGGCTTAATAATGTCCTTCATTCAGGAAAGCTGAAGGTTTATGGGAAGCAGCTCAACTGTGTTTCACTCTCATATAAATCATATAAAATTATTAGACAGGTCCGTTGCATTACGATTGAAAGCAGGACCAATAATGTCAAAAATGTGATGTGCAGTCGAGTTTGTGTGTGTGTGTGTGTGTGTGTGTGTGTGTGTGCTGTTTAAATAAGTGTTTTCACTGATACACTTGTTGTGATTCGCTGAGTACTGACGAGTTTTACTGTAAACTGTCACGCATTGAGCGCGAGACTCACACAGTTGACCCTTTCCACACACTCTCGCCACACATCCATTTACTCACACAGAGAATGATCATGTAGCAAAGAGGACACTGACACCGACAGACAAGACATAGCAGGTTACTTTAATACAAAACAAATGATCAGCGCTCAGATTCTGTCCATTTTATTACGAAATTCAATCAATAAATGGCGTTTTGGCTCTTGTAAGTGTGTCGTGACAGATCTCAGTAGCGCTTCAGTTCAAGCGGCACGTAACCGATCATCTGTTACTCTTCTTTACTACTAATATAAGCATGAATGATCAATAGGCCATTTTGAAAAATATCTAATTTGAAAATTTGAAATAAAACTCTTGATCAGTGTTTATCAACCGGGGAAAGAGGTCCATAAAACAGCTGGAGAACAACATGTCAACGTTACATTTACCTCACGAAAGCCATTTAATGATCATACAGGCTAGACAAATTAGCTATAGAGAGAAGCGTTTTGTTAAATATGTCCACTATATTAGGCTACATATTATATTTTTACTTTACTTATATCATTAAAATATTTTTTTAAGTTGTTGTTATTAAAAAACAAACCTCTCTAGGGTTAGTTTGATATTTTACACTTAAAGCCCTGTTTTAAGATCGTTTCTGATGAAATAGAACGGTTAAGATTGAAATTTGGGCAAATGCTGCAGAATTGTAGTTCCCTTTCGTAGTCACTTCGAGTTACGTCAGAAGTGACGGAAATTGGGGGTTTCGCATAGAAAGCCAATCCTCTTCGAGTATTTAAAAACGAGCCAATGGCGTGCAATGCCTTGGGGCTGCGGAAATTTGCATAGCGTACTCCGTCCTACTCCATGAGTATAAAAGGAGGAAGTGAACGCAACCGCAGTATGTTTTCGCTTCGGAGCCAAGAGAACCTCTTCACTCCTGAAAGCCATTCTCACTGTTCAAGACTCTTCGAGACGAGCGTCCTCTTCAGTGTTGGTGTGACGGCGGTACCCAGCGAGATTCTGCATCGCCTGCGATCTGAGCAGTGGTCTGCTAGACTTTGCGCTTCTCCCTGGTCGCCTCAGCGCTGAAAGAGTGAATTTCCTCCTCTCATTGAAAGAGCTGCACGCGGCACGTCTTTTTAAAGATGGTTCGCCCGTGTTCTTCTGGGTGCGGTCGATTTCTGTCGTCATCTGATGGTCACGATCGCTGCTTTGTATGCCCGGGCATTCAGCATGCAGCAGCAGCGTTCGTGGATGACTCATGTTCCTTCTGTGGGAACATGACCATCTCTACACTGAGGTCGAGACTCAATGATCTGACTAAAGTGAGAGTCCCCGTGTCCGTTACTCGTTCTGCTTCCCTCACGGGGGGCCCGTCGACTCGGGGACCTGGTGATCTAACGGTGACGGTGTGGAACAAAGCCCCGACGATTCCTCGGGCCACACCTCCCGCCTCAGTGCGAGAGCCAGCGAGCGTTAGTTCGATTCAGTCGGTTGCTTCTTCGGCGGTACCGGCTGCTTCGGGCAGCGCTCCAGATGATGATGCGATGTCGATCACAGCATCACTAGGCGGGCTAGAGTCCTCGGGAGATGAGGATGCGGCTGCGTTGCCTCCTTCGGGAGTGCCAGCGTTGCCCGTGTCGGATCCCGAGCTGACGGCCATGCTGTCTCGAGCCGCTGGGAGTATCGGGTTAGAGTGGAACCCTCCGCCCTGCCCCGATCTCTCACGGATGGATGATTGGTTTTTGGACAAAGCTGCCGCCGTAAGGCCACGGCCAACTCCATTGCCTTTCTTCCCCGAGCTGCATGTGGAGCTGTCGGGCTCTTGGGGGGCTCCCCTGTCCACTCGAGAGCGCAATCTCTCCCCCGCCTTTCCCCCCCTCGATGGTGGGGCCGCCCGTGGGTACACTGGGATGCCCCCGGTGGAGCGCTCTGTTGCGATGCAGCTGTGTCCACAGGGCGCCTCCTCCCGTGGTCCTCCTAAGCACCCATCCAAAGCCTGTAGGTTCTCGTCTGCTATGGCGGCGCGTTCCTATTGAGCGGCGGGACAGGTGGCCTCCGCTCTGCATGCGATGAGCACTTTGCAGGTCTTCCAAGCGAAGCTGCTCAGAGATATGCACGAGGGCGGGACTGATCCAACGGCATTCAAAGATTTGCGGTCCGCCACTGACCTTGCTCTCCGGGCGACGAAAGTGGCCGCTCGCGCTGTTGGTCAGGTGATGGCCACCAGTGTGGTCCAGGAGCGTCATCTCTGGCTCAACCTGGCAGACACTCGGAGCGCTGAGCGGACTCGTCTGCTCGACGCCCCACTCTCCCAGGTTGGCCTTTTCGACGGTGCAGTCGAGGACTTTGCCCAGCAGTTCTCGACTGCCCAGAAGCAGACGGAGGCAATTAAACATATTCTGCCCCGACGACCAGCTGCTGCCTCCACCCAGTCGTCGGCACAGATGCCTCCCGCTGCTCGCCGCCGAGGACGCCCCCCGCGGCTCCCCTCCCTCCCGCCCGGCCCCAGCAGCAGCCTTCACCCGGGCCGCGGCGTAGAGGAGGCCGCGGCGTAGAGGAGGCCGCAGGCAGGCGTCACAGCCCCCTCAGGCCGCAAGCCCCGCTAAACGCCAGGCTAAGCGACGTTCCTGAGACGTGCTGCTCAGTGATGAGGTTGAGTTTTTCCCAGGAGGCGGTAGCAGGCCCCCTCCTTCCCCCGGTGGAGGGCCGGGGGAGAATCTTTTGTTCTCAGCTCCCCGCTGCTCACCCACGGGTGAGCAGTACCCTGAGTTGGTTAAAGAAAGACTTGACATCACTAAGCACACAGACAGGATTGGGTGCGCTCGACGTCCCAGTGCGTCAGCCCACTCATTCCTCTCTGTCTCTGAGGGCGTGGAAGGGAGCGTGTGTCGTCCCCGGGCTACGCCACTCCCTTCCCCCTCTATCGCCAGACCCCCGTGAAACGCTTTGCCTTCCCTGGTCGCTTCTGTCGGGGAGCGGGCCTCGACGGTGCATCCGGGCGGGGTAACTCCTGCGCGCATGCCGGTCGACCCGCCTCGCTGCCCCTCCGGGGGGACGTCTGTGGTTCGGATGACCCCGCTGGTTCAATTCCTGGAAGCCTGGCTAGAGCTTCCCGGGCTGTCCCGCTGGGTCATCAGAACGATCAGATTCGGCTACGCGATTCAGTTCGCACAGTCTCCTCCCCGTTTCGGGGGAGTTCGCTCCACGATGGTCGGTGGCAATGCCCCGGTTATGAGAGCGGAGATTGCGACCCTGCTGGCGAAGGGTGCAATCGAGACGGTCCCTCCAGCCGAGATGAGGTCCGGGTTTTACAGCCCCTACTTCATTGTCCCCAAAAAGACCGGTGGGTTACGACCGATCCTAGACCTGCGCATTTTGAACCGTTCTCTCCATCGACTACCGTTCAAAATGCTCACAGCCAAACGCATTCTCGAATGCGTTCGGTTTCAGGATTGGTTTGCAGCGATCGACCTGAAGGACGCGTACTTTCATGTCTCCATTTTGCCTCGACACAGACCGTTTCTTCGGTTTGCTTTCGAGGGCCAGGCATATCAGTACACGGTTCTCCCATTCGGGTTAGCTCTGTCCCCTCGCGTCTTCACGAAGATCGTCGAGGCAGCCCTTGTTCCCCTTCGCGAGAACGGGGTTCGCATCCTGAACTATCTCGACGACTGGCTGATACTGGCACACTCTCGAGCTCAGGTTTGCGAACACAGAGACCTGGTGCTCCGGCACCTAGCCCGTCTGGGCCTTCGGGTCAACCGGGAGAAGAGCAAACTTTGCCCCGTGCAGAGGATCTCTTTTCTCGGCATGGAGATAGACTCGGTCGCCATGTCCGCGCAGCTCACGATCTAGCGCGCGCACTCACTGCTGACTTGTCTTCGACAGTTCGAGGGCAAGAGTGCGGTTCCACTGAAACTATTTCAGAGGCTCCTGGGGCATATGGCATCCGCTGCCGCGGCAACGCCGCTCGGTTTGCTTCATATGAGACCGCTTCAGCTGTGGCTTCGCGATCGAGTCCCGAGGTGGGCATGGCATCGCGGTTCGCTCCGAGTTCCAGTGACTCCAGCATGCCGCCGAACCTTCTTCCCGTGGTCGAACCTCAGCTTCTTACGGACCGGCGTCCCTATTCAGCGAGTTTCCAGGCATCTCGTTGTCTCCACGGATGCGTCTACCACAGGTTGGGGTGCCATGTGCAATGGGCATGCAGCCGCGGGTTCCTGGACAGGAACCCAGCGCCTCATGCACATCAATTGCCTCGAGCTGCTGGCAGTGCGGCTCGCCCTGCACCGCTTCCGAGTGTTGCTCACGGGCCAGCATGTGCTTGTCCGTTCAGACAACACTACGGCAGTAGCGTACATCAACCACCAGGGGGGTCTACGCTCACGCCGGTTGTCCGCAGCTCGCCCGCCACCTCTTGTTATGGAGTCAGAAGCACCTGAGGTCCCTTCGTGCAGTTTACATTCCTGGAGACCGGAACCTGGCAGCCGACAAACTGTCACGGGTCCGTCCTATCTCCGGCGAATGGCGACTCCATCCCCAGTCGGTCCAGCTGATTTGGGACCAGTTCGGGGAGGCACAGATAGATCTGTTCGCCTCTCGGGACTCATCCCACTGCGCCCAGTTTTATTCCCTGACCGAGGGTACGCTCGGCTCAGATGCACTGGCGCACAGCTGGCCACGGGGCCCACGCAAGTATGCGTTTCCCCCAGTGAGCCTCCTTGCACTGGTGTTGTGCAAGATCAAGGAGGACGAGGAGCAGGTCTTGCTGGTAGCCCCCTATTGGCCCACCAAGACGTGGTTCTCCGAACTCATGCTCCTCGCGACAGCACCTCCTTGGCCTATTCCTCTGAGACAGGACCTACTCTCTCAGAGACGGGGCACTCTGTGGCACCCTCGTCCCGATCTTTGGAGGCTGCATGTGTGGCTCCTGGACGGGTCGAGGCAGGTTTGAGTTCGCTGCCACCTGCGATGGCGGCAACCATCACTTCCGCAAGAGCGTCGTCCACGAGACACCTTTATGCGTTGAAGTGGAACCTCTTCGTCAATTGGTGTTCTTCTCGCAGAGAAGACCCCCGGAGATGTTCGATCGCGGTTGTGCTTTCCTTCCTGCAAGAAGGGTTGGAGCGCAGGCTGTCGCCCTCCACCCTTAAGGTTTACGTCGCGGCCATTGCCGCTTCTCATGAAGCAGTGGAGGGTAAGTCCTTAGGGAAGCACGACCTGGTCATCAGGTTCCTGAGGGGAGCGAGGAGGCTACATCCGCCTCGTCCTCCCCTCGTACCCTCTTGGGACCTCTCGGTAGTTTTAAGTGCACTGCAGAGGCATCCCTTTGAGCCTTTGCAATCGGTAGAGTTAAAGTTTCTGTCCATGAAGGCAGCACTCCTGGTTGCATTGGCCTCCATCAAGATGGTGGGGGACCTGCACGCATTCTCCGTTGACGAAGCGTGCCTGGAGTTCGGGCCGGCTTACTCTCACGTGATCCTGAGACCCCGGCCTGGATATGTGCCCAAGGTTCCCACCACTCCCTTCCGGGACCAGGTGGTGAACCTGCAAGCGCTGCCCCTGGAGGAGGCAGACCCAGCCTTGGCACTGCTCTGTCCGGTACGTGCTCTCCGCACCTATGTCGACAGAACGCGGTGTTTCAGGACCTCAGACCAGCTCTTTGTCTGTCATGGGGGGAGCCAGAAGGGAAGGGCTCTCTCAAAGCAACGGCTGTCCCACTGGATATCCCTAAAAAAAAAAAAAAGGAGGGGTCCAGACTTTCGCAGGGCACTGGTAGACAGCTTGAAGATGGCGTGATGGCACAGACCCCCAATCTCCGTCACTTCTGACGTAACTCGAAGTGACTACGAAAGGGAACGTCTCGGTTACGGATGTAACCCTCGTTCCCTGAGTAGGGAACGGAGACGTTACGTCTCCCTGCCACTTCTGCTGTATCGCTGGGTAGACGCCGAGTTCAATCTTGGCTCCTCAGCGAAGACATACTGCGGTTGCGTTCACTTCCTCCTTTTATACTCACGGAGTAGGGCGGAGTACGCTATGCAAATTTCCGCAGCCCCAAGGCATTTCACGCCATTGGCTCGTTTTTAAATACTCGAAGAGGATTGGCTTTCTATGCGAAACCCCCAATCTCCGTCACTTCTGACGTAACGTCTCCGTTCCCTACTCAGGGAACGAGGGTTACATCCGTAACTGAGACGTTTTCTGTGTTAGCACCCCCACCTACACAATGGTTGTCTATGTGCACATGAACAATCATTCGTAAAATGCATTAAACTTTAGTTTACAAAGACGTGAAACTCACAGAGTGGTCTGGGGTGTTCACTGATATACTCACACAAATATCGCTGCAAAAGATGCTTTCCAACAGGTTTTAGCGTAGTTTTGTCCGACTCCATTGACTTGACTTGGTACAAAAACTAAGATAAAACCTGTTGGAAAGCATCGTTAATGTCCTACAGGTGATGTGTGTGAACATTCATCTTCTGCAGCTCCAGTCTCTTCAACAACACTGACTCCAGTCAGCAGATCAAACTCTGAGAAGACATCAAGCAGAACTACAGCAACAGCTCCTACACAAGGTTCATGATCACATGACCACTGGCACACATCATCACTCTCGCTTCAGTGGTTTGATCACACCACAGTAAAATCAGCCGGATAATTCCATCAATTCAGTATTGAAACCTCAAAGGATATATTGTGTTCATGCATTAAAATATGACATTTCTATTTCCATCTTGTTTTAATAGTTGCAACTACAACTACATCAACTACAGTAACAACACGTCCCACAGCAAACTCTCCGAATCCAGGTGTGTATGAACATCATCCTCATCATCCAGAGAATCAGTTTCTGAACACACATCATCACTCTCGCTTCAGTGGTTTGCACTGGCTCTCTCAGGCTGGTTTATTATCACAGATATTATCTACAAAAAGTATCTCTTAAGTCAGATTTGTCAGTGAGCCATTTTGATACATACAGTATGACTTGTACTTCCTGTTGTCTGATGCAAATTAATTATAAATATTATACCGATAGTGTATCTCATGCCATCCCATGATAAATTCAAATGATATTTAGGATTCATTTTTGGAAAATAAATGCCTTGACATTCTGTTCATGCATTAAAATATGACATATTTCTATTTCCATCTTGTTTTAATAGTTGTAACTACAACTACATCAACTACAGTAATAGCACATCCCACAGCAAAATCTCTGAATCCAGGTGTGTATGAACATCATCCTCATTTGATCGACTCATAGATTTTATAGAATCAGTATCTGAATCGTCTCTAAAGTTGTTCAAACAGCTGATCACAAATATTGATTGTTATTGTCAAAGATACATCATACAAAGATACACTGGGTTCCCGCTTGTTTTGTAAACATTCAAGAAAGTTACTGTTATCATAGCGGAGACCCGATACATATCACTGAGAGCTAGTATCAGTTGTTTTTGGTTCACCTCGAGCCGCCGGAGGAGGGTATGGGGTCTGGCGCTGTGTCATAGGCCAAAGAGCTCTCGGAGGAGGGGGAGGGGGGCTTGGGGGTGAGCTGGGCCCACAGGCTTTGGTGGTTGTGGAGGCTGCCGTTTTTTGGTTGACATCTGGGGGCTTGCAGCAAAAGAGTGGGATAGTTGCTCTGGTGTTATCTTAAATAAGGCTGTAATATGTAAGGCTAAAAATATAAAAGCGATAGAGCGATAAAAATATAAAAGCGATAAAACAAAGCGCAGAGCAGTAAGCAAGAGCGTCCGAACAGTAGCTGAGCAGGAAATGTTGATCGTTGGTGGAGAGAAAGTGTTCAGCACTGTTTTGTGTTCAACCTCCCTTATCTATCGTTCTTCAGACGCTACAGCTCTCTCAATATTCAAAGTGCAAACAGAGACCAGAGCTACAACTACTCAGTCCAGGATAGGTTTGATAGCTCTGTTGCGCAGCAAAACCTTCGCCATCGTCACGTGATCAGTGAACTGTGAGTCCTACTCTGGCGACTCGTGCTGGATGAGCAGAGCAGACGTTTACAATAGTTTACAATGGTTTTTATTTTTTATAGAAACAGCAAAACGATCTTGGAGGCAGTGATGCAGTCATAATGTGAATGTAGTGGCGCATATTCTGTGCTAATTCCACCCTTGCACTCCGTCAAGGCGATATCACAAGACCGATCGTCTCGTCACATTTTATTCTCGCGAGATCTCGTCACATTTTACTCTCGTGAGATCTCGTCACATTTTATTCTCGCGAGATCTCGTCACGTTTTAGTATTGCAAGATCTCGTCACATTTTAGTATTGAAATATCTCGTCACATTTTAGTCTCACGAGATCTCATCACATTTTATTCTAGCGAGATCTCGTCACATTTTAGTCTCACGAGATCTCGTCACATTTTAGTCTCGTGAGATCTTGTCACATTTTAGTATTGAAATATCTCGTCACATTTTAGTCTCACGAGATCTCATCACATTTTATTCTAGCGAGATCTCGTCACATTTTAGTCTCACGAGATCTCATCACATTTTATTCTAGCGAGATCTCGTCACATTTTAGTCTCATGAGATCTCGTCACATTTTAGTCTCGCGAGATCTCGTCACATTTTATTCTCGTGAGATCTCGTCACAGTTTAGTATTGCGAGATCTCATCACATTTTAGTCTCTCGAGATCCCGTCACATTTTAGCTTCACGAGATTTCGTCACACACCGACTAGTGAACATGTGTGGTGCAGTCAGTGTCCAGATGGCTTTCAGCAGCATATAAACAATCTGCAATACTTGAAATATTATTAATATATTATATTGAGTATACACTTAATATATACTCTTATTTACTGATATTGTTTGTGTTGTTGCTGTATTTTTAGTTAAGGCTTTAAGATAATAAACACTTTACAGCTGCTGAACTATGAAGCAACAACAGGATCTCAGAGGACCATCACTATAATAATATCTGACAGAAACTTACTGAACTTTATATAAAATCATCAATTTACTTCATGATAAATATGGAGAATTATGCTATAGTTGTTTTTATGTTTTTGGTTAAACAGTAATATAGTCCTGCTGAATGTGTCTCTCTATTTATAATGTCTCTCTCAGGGCTTGTGGCTGTGATTGTGATTGTTGCCGCTTCATTCGCTCTGGGTCTTATTCTCTGGGTGATTCGTAAGAAAAGAGCAGGTGAGTTTTTCATATTTTGTAACAACAGACAAAATTTTAAAAACTGATTGTCATCTGCATTATAGACTGTGTGTTTGATCATAAACTTTCCTGTGACATTATGTTTCAGTTAACAGAAGAGGGACTGCCCAGCAAGCAATAGCCCTCATTTCACCATCTAGGTTAAATATAGACCCGATATAGTCCGGCTATGTGTAACCCACTTCTAGCCAAAATAACATTGAATCATGGCTAAATGTAATTTTTTTCCAAAATAGCTTGCAAAATGTATTTATTCCATCATGTAAGCAAAGTCAACTGTGATTACAAGGTGTTTGGTTTGATTTCTTTGACATTTTCTATGTGTAGGCTGTGTGTAGACGCGATCTAGCTCGTATAGTCTGCCCGGCTATTTATAGCCCACTTCTAGTCGAAACTGATTAATTGTCGTTTTAACGAATTGTTGGGCAGGCAACGCATGAGATGGTTGATATTTGATATCCCATCATGTTCGCATTAGTAAACATATCTACAAGGTGCCAGTGTCATATCATTACATGGTCGATCTGTATAGTCACGATCCTCTTGGATGGGCTATGTACAGTCTGCTTTTAGTCCACCGGCGAAATCGAGGCAATCAGTGGTCTACGTTTAACGGCTCGGCTATAGCCCTGATTTAGACCAGCGATTAGTATAGCCAAAATAAAATCTTAAAATTGTTTACTTGTTTTTCACCCACGCAGCATCATGTTTGCTGTCACAGTCACACATTAATAAAAAATCTACGGTTTTATTTGACTGTCTTTCATTTTAAATTAAATAAAAATACAATTACATTTCTCAACCGCTAGATGGGAACAGCCCTACTGAGACATGCTGACAACGCGAGACTTGATAGCACAGATCACCGGTCACGCGATCGACCATTTTTTCAAGTATTTTAAACGAGGCAGAGCATGCATGCATTTAGCTGAGGGTCGACGACAACAGGTAAAATACATTCCCACTTTTGTCTTGTAAGCATCTGTGTTTTCATTTTGACGTGTTAATTTTTTAGATAAATTATTTGTTATCATGTTGTTGGAATCGTGACATTTTAGCGGGTAACAGTGTATCATGGTACATGCACGTGTAACTGCTTTATCTGCTTATTTGTTACTGCTGTTCAGCTGAAATAAATGATCAAATCTTAAGACTCCAACATTTCTCTTTGTAATATGTTGTTCAGGTTTAATTCTAATCATAATGTAACATTATTGAAAAACTGTTGTTTCTTCAGTACAAAAACCAATGCTAAACTTTGACAAAAAGTATTTTATTTTTGTTATAATTGTGATTTTATAATATTTAGATGTGAATCCAACTTTAGAAACTATATCTTTCAGTAATTCAAATAGTATATAGGCCTAGGAGCTCTATAGCCATCTAGTGGTTAAAGTGACTTATTACAAATTTTAACCTGTATTTTCCAAATAATGAGCAAAAGTTTTACATTAAACCTTGTAAAATTATCCATGGTATCCCCAGGAATGAAAGTTAGAAATCTGGGTCTTTTATAAAGTTTATTGGTAACACTTTACAATACGGGGGCATTAATTCATGCTTAACTAATGCACAGATAATACTGAATTAATGTGTAACTAATGATTATTTAAGCTATTCATTAATGATTACCACATTAGGAACTAATTAAGAGTCTGAAAGGTTAATGTATTAGTTCATACACAAAATGTTATTAATTAAATATGTAATTGTGGATTAATTTCATAATAACTAATTTTTTAACTTATAGTGTTAATTAATATGTTAATTACCAGAATGAGCCAAAGCCTTGTATTTCAACTTCCAGATAATATGACAGGTACATTAATTTGCATTAATACATGATTAATTACTTCATTGTTACTGCAAATTCATGTGCAAATTACTACAATTACTAAATGACTAGTTAATAATGATGTGCCCCAACAAGTAAAGTCATGATATAATGATACTTTATTAGCTAATGATTAATTAAAGCAGACAACTGGAAGTTGAAGTGCATAGCTTTGACTAATTATGGTAATTAACACATTAATTTACACGATTAGTTAATAAAATATGTTATTAAAGGATTAGTTCACTTTTGAAAAAACTTTTGCTGATAATTTACTCACCCCCATGTCATCCAAGATGTCCATGTCTTTCTTTCTTCAGTCGAAAAGAAATTTAGGTTTTTCATGAAAACATTCCAGGATTTTCTCCATATAATGGACTTACATGGGAACCAGTTGGTCGGAGGTCCAAACGACAGTTAATAACAGTTTCAGATGCAGCTTCAAATGTCTTTAAACGACACCAGACGATGAATAAGGGTCTTATCATGCGAAACGATCGGTTATTTCAAAACTTATTCCAAAAATGTAACTTTTCTAAGGACAAATGCTAGCCTTGTAATATACTGTGAGGCGCGTTTGCAACGTCACGTAATACGTAATTACGTTCAAAAGGTCACGGGCGACGTAGCCGGAAGTACAGAATCAAAATCGTCCGACATCATTGTTTTTCCTTTTAATTCCTTTTTTGTAAACGGCGTTTGAGTTAGTTTTCACGTTCAACCTATGCGTTCAACTTGTAAACACTGACTCTGTACTTCCGGCTACGTCACCCGTGACCTTTTGAACGTAATTACGTATTACGTGACGTTGCAAACGCGCCTCGCAGAATGGAGAAAGGCTAGCATTTGTCCTTAGAAAAGTTACATTTTTGGAATAAGTTTTGAAATAACCGATCGTTTCGCATGATAAGACCCTTATTCATCGTCTGGTGTCGTTTAAAGACATTTGAAGCTGCATCTGAAACTGTTATTAACTGTCGTTTGGACCTCGGTTAGACCTGGTTCCCATTGAAGTCCATTATAAGGAGAAAAATAGTGGAATGTTTTCATCAAAAACCTTAATTTCTTTTCGACTGAGGAAAGAAAGACATGGACATCTTGGATGACATGGGGGTGAGTAAATTATCAGCAAAAGTTTTTTCAAAAGTGAACTAATCCTTTAAGGAATTAATCCACAATGACACATTGAATTAATAGCAATTCATGTAATACTAAATATATTAATCATATAGACTCTTTATTAGTTGCTGATGCAGTAATCATTAATTAATGGTTTAGTTCTTCATTAGTTATACATTAACTCATGATTATCTGTGCATTAGTTACGCATGAATTAATGCATATTAGTGCACCCGTATTGTAAAGTGTTACCAGTTTATTTAACATAAAATGCTGATGTTGTTTTGTGTGTGTGTGTGTGTGTAAAAATCCTATTTAAATAAATATTTATTTAGAATACTCTCAACAGCCGTTTATGAGCGCTATTTATTCATATTACACATTTAATTTAGTAGAAACTAAAAAAAAGATTATAACTTTAATAACGGTGAGGCTGAAATGGAGAAACAACCGGTGTCTTTATACATTTTATTCTTGCAAGAAGCTTGTTCGGACACACAGAGAGTGTGCCGCTGTCAGAAAGGAAGTCACAATCAGACAGTTAACAGTCACACAAAATATGTTGCACAAGACAACCACTGAGTTTCATTTCCTCTATGTTAGACACAAAACGGCCTACACAGTGTGTTTAAATTAGCCTATACAGCACTTAAAAACTTGCAGAGTAGACTACAGTCTTCGTGCTCGCAGACACAACACAAGTAATTTAACAATTTATTGGGATAAATTCATCTGGGATTTCTGTATGAAGATCAAATTTACGTTACGTCATACCGTTTGTTGTTTTCTTGTCTGGCAGAAAGTTTAGATCTGGAAGCGGTGACACAAGACTTAAGCAGAAAGCACTGAAGCGTTTATGCCAAACCATAGACATAAACACCAGACGTCACCTTGGGGGTTCTAAGCATGCGTCAAAACCGCCGCCATCTTGGAACAGGGGTCTTGTCATAGGAAGAAGCTACAGTAGATAACGCTGCTATCTCTGCCTTTACTTCGAATTCATTGATGGTGGCGGACTGTTGTGCAGCGTATGATGTTCACGGATGAAATCTGAACTAGGAAGAATGTTTTTAATTTTTTTTACAAGTCTGACCGTTGGAACAAACCAAAAAAACGAGAAAAAAATCGCGTTCATGATTATTTATGGTGATTTTATTTCCGTTAGACCTGAGTCTACATTGACGCTGATGCATTAAAGTGGAGGGGCTCGTCTGTTTCAAGATGGCGGCTCTATTGACGCATTCGTTCCAATGAACTGCCGTAGCCAAGGTGACGTCTAGTTTATATATGTCTATGATGCAGAACAGGCAGCTTTCACAACCAATCGTAAAGACCTTTCAATGCGCCCATTTCTTAATTTAAATTATAGTTAACGTTTAATGTTGTGTTAGTTAGCAATTATAATTGTCTACACAACAGCACGTAACATTTGTTAGTTAATCATAACTGGTTACAGACGCACATCGTGCTCTTGAAAACCTCATACGACAGCGAACTAGCCCAGGACTGCAAACACAAGGAAAATAAATAGGGAGCAAACAAAGCAGGTAATGAGGGAGGACAGGTGAGGAAAATTAACCAATAATCAGGACACAAGGGGTTAGACAATTGAAAGGAGACCACATGGCATGAGGAAACACGCATGCTCACAACAAAAATGACAAAAAACACAAGCACACGGCCAGCAAACACAATAACAAGCCATTACCTCAAAACAAGACAGAGCGAATGAGGTCCAAATCTTGACACAGAACCGAAGCAAAACAACAACAGACAACACACGGCGGGAAATCAAAACACAGAGAGAAAGAGGGGAGGGAGTCAAGCCACTGCTGACGGAAAGACCCCAGAAGGTCTGTATGAAAACATGGCAAAGTTTTTCTTTTACTGTAGCCGTGATGATATAGATGAGATTCTGTGCTCTGATCGACTACAGACGAGATGATAGTTCCTCCAAACACCAGAGAGATGAAAACTTCCCGTATGATGAGATCATGATCTGAATCATTAATGTTTATTTATGGTCTAGTTCTTGTAAAGTTCATCCTGCGGTTTATCTTCTCTTCCTCTGATGGCAGCGTAAGTCACGGTATCATGATCCTGAAAGAACAGATTCTGTCCATCAATGTTTGAACCACAGTGATTATTATTATTATTAGAGTATGTGCTTGTATCTACTCACACTGAGCGATTTTGCTGGCTTTGTACTGGAAGAAGTGACCTCAGAATAAGTCACCTCATCTGTCTGCTCCTAAACATCAATGCAAACGTACAGAGAGTCGAGTTTAACACACAGAACAGACATTTCTCTCACTAAAATATGTAGAATAACACAAAAGTGAACGTAATGTTTGATGATTTAGTGACTTACATCGGCTCTTGCAGCAGGAGGAATGGACATGTTGATCGTCTCATACGTCTCTTTATGTTCATTCTCATCTTTGACCTTTAGACAACAAACAATTAAAACTTCATGAATGACACTTTATTGAGCTTTAAAGACTAATCAAATCTAAATCACTGCATTACTGAACTCACCGCAGAGTCGCCAGTCCCTCTTTTATTATCTGAAAACAAAAACAAGTGCCTCATGAAATACAACTATTTATGATAAAACACATGTGCAAAACACACAATCTTCACAATAAGATAGTTTTGTGAGTGCTAAAAACGTCTCTGTTACTTACGTAACCTCAGTTCCCTAAGAGAACGGAAACGAGTGTTGGGTCTTTGCTATACGCAATGGGGGAAACTCCTTTTCTCAGACTTTTTAAGCCTTTAAAGGGGTGGTTTAATGTCCTTTTCACAAGATGTAAAATAAATCTTTGAGTTCCCAGAGTGCGTACGTGAAGTTTTAGCTCAAAATACCCCACAGGTATTTTTATATACCGAGGTTACATAAATAACCAAGACTTTCCGTTTCGAAATGTTTACTTGTATTGTATCTTTGCTAGATGCTATGGGGAGCCAATCTATGTGAACATAATGACATATTCTGTGGCCCTAGCCTGGGATGCTTAGTTAAGGGTCTATAGATCCCTTTTCAGTTGGTAAACATGGTGACGTTTTTATGTCGGCGGAGCTTAGGTGGAGGCAGAACGATCCCTCCGGCCGCTTCACTAACGCTAGTTAGCAAGTTTTATTAGCTTGTTTTTTTAACAATGACTGGAGAAAAATAGATTTTATCTTGATGTGTAAGGTCACTCAGTGTCCAGGACCGCGATTGTTATTTACACAAGTAACTTTTAACAGACGGAACCAGATTGGCCGACCCGTAGCCGGCTACACGCTCACTCAATGCATGGATGATCTGACAGGATTATATTGTTACGTTACCTCGGTTGAGTGGCCTGACTTCTACACCTACCTTATAGAGAAACCGATCGTAAAGAGAAACTGAGGGCATATAAATCTTTAGATGCCTATATGGTCCTGTACAAGACTTGTGTGTACGATCCGCAGTTCTGCAGAGCCAGCGCCGAGACCACAACAATGTAAAGAGTGACATTACAGTGAGATTTTAATCATGTGAATATTTTCTAGCAATAAAAAATCCAGATGCAGCATATTCATTTTTCATTGATTCTTGCACCAAACAACACAATAAGATGACATTAAAAATATTAAAAGTAATTTAAGCTCCTTATTATGTAGCCGAATCTGTGCTGGTTTGCATTGGCCGCCTCCAGTTTTCACTTTGCTTTGCCTCCAGCTAGCGCCGTGACGTAACTGTGACGTCGGCGCAAAAGGGGTCAATAGGCAATAGGGCTAGGGAAGGGCAAGTTATCAGATTAAAAAAGGTGGTCGGACTGAGGTCGCCCCTCCGGAGAGGTTATAGTTGGTTGAGCTCCCTCTGAGATCAACTCCAGCTAGACAGAGGATTTGAGCCTGCAGCGCAGTGATCTTCAGGTTGTAAAATTTGGCGAAGGTGGACGGCGAGAAGCGCACCGATGTCACCAATACACACACAACTGGACCACGCCCAGGAAGACGCTTCACGACTCCGATGGGGCATTGGAGGCCCACTGAAGCATTAGCCAACGTGATAGTGTCCACTATCCAGCATGATAGTGTCCACTATACGTCCACCTTCATAATCACTTTGGTGCGACCACCGAAACATACAAAGAGCTGCTCTGATTGTCTGAAATGGACAGAGCACTGTATATATACTCCTAAGGCCCGGCAGGGCAGAGTAAGTGAGGTTGACGCTGGTCTTCTGAATCGGGAAGAGTGGACAGCGTAAGAACTTGAGCTCTGGACAGACTAGAGAGCACTTTGGGCACATAGCCATGCCGTGGCTTGAGGATGACCTTCGAGTCGATAGACCCAAACTCGAGGCAGGAAGCACTGATGGAGAGAGCTCGCAGGTTATCCACTCGCTTCACTCACTCGCTAGCAGTAGTGAGGCCTTTAGCGAAAGTGGCCAGAGCTCAGCCGATTGTAGCGGTTCGAACAGGGCCTCTGAGGACCGCAGATAGATCCCAAGAGGGTACGGTAAGAGGACGAGGTGGGTCGAGCCTCCTTGCCCCTTTCAGGAAGCGGATGAGCAAGTCACTTTTACCCAGAGGCTGGCCGGCCACCGGAGTGTGATGAGGTCTTGTAAGAACGAGAGTACCAGAGGTACTTTGTATGAGTACCTTCACCCCGGATGCGCAGCGAGGGGTCCTGGGTGTCCAATCCTGACCCGCATTTACTGTAAGTGCACTTTTAACTTGCGGGCGGCAGTGGTTCATGTAGTTTGTGTACAAACCAGAAGGTTGGTGGTTCAATCCCCGGTTCCACCTGACCAAGTGTCGAGGTGTGCAAGACACCTAACACCAGCTGCTCCCGACGAGCTGGATGGCGCCTTGCATGGCTGACACCGCCGTCGGCGTATGAATGGGTGAATGTGAGGCAAACTGTAAAGCACTTTGGAAGTCATTGGGTCTGTGAAAGTGCTATATAAATGCAGTCCATTTACCACTACCATGATAAAGGGTCCATCATGGTATGAAAAGCTAAGCTCGATTAGCCAGAGGACGTGTAAGCCTGCCCGGCATTGGCTGAAGTCGTCCTGCATGCCGAACTCTGAACAGAGTCAGAGATCTATGTGCGGTCCTTAGGGCTCTCAAAGGCCCCTTGTTCTCGGCCCCTCGGCTGAGCTCAGGCCACTTTCGCTAAAGGCCGCACTACTGCTAGCATTAGCATCGGCGAAGCGAGTGGATAAGCTCAAGTTCTTACGCTGTCCGCTCTTCCCGATTCAGAAGACCAGCGTCAACCTCACTTACTCTGCCCTGCTCGGTATATATACAGTATATATACAGTGCTCTGTCCATTTCAGACAATCAGCTCCTTGTATGTTTCGGTGGTCGCACCAAAGTGATTATGAAGATGGTCGTATAGTGGACAGTATCATGCTTATCCTTTTTTGGACGAGCCACCTTTCCATCCAGTGGCAGTGGGCACACAGAGGTATTCCTAGAGATTAAGGGGGCAGGTGGCTCTCGTGTACTTTTTCCACGGCACCATCAACGGTAATGAGAACAGTGCTAATGCGCCAAGTTTGACGTGACCCTCAAGGAAGAAAGATGCTCCTCGCTGGAAAGGAGTCTGCAGGCGCCCCGGCTGGACCCAATCATCATCGCAGCTGCGAGTGTCGCTGGTGTCGCTCATGTCCACTGAGCTCGACCAATGCAGACCACTCATTGGCTGCCATAGACACGCTGCTTAGCTAAGGGTTCATGCAGTTCCCACTGATGTGTTCAGATCTCTGCACTGTTATAGGTGTGTAGTGGCACTGCTTTTTTATTTAAACGCTTCAAAATTCGGAGAAAAGAAGTTCCCCCCATAGAGACAAGCAAAGATACGAGTAAACACTTTGAAAGGGATCGATTGTTTTTTGACTTGATAACTCGATGAGATTGACTTTACAGGATTCCTCAGCAGGAATAAACTTCTGTTTGAGAATTGAATATTATCCACATGTTTCTATGATACTTACAGTCTGAACATGATGTGTTTGTCTGCTCATCTGAACTGTTTTTAATTGTTATAAATGAGTAAATCTGAAATCTCACCAGCTGTTTTTCTGTAGATCAGCCAGAGAAGAGCAAGAAGGAGAACAGCGACTGCAGCGACAGAAATCCCTATGACTGAAGAAGAGATCGAGCTCAGAGTCAGAGACGGACAGGTCAGATTGAGGACAATTATAGACAAAAGACTGTGATTATGAACCTGTGTTTGTAGTCAAATGATCCTGAGAGTTTGTGTCTGGTTTTGTTGTATCAGCTTGAGCTGAAAAGGATGATTAGGGACAGTTATAGACAAAGACAAAAGCCATCGACACCGGATGACATTTCAAATGATTCTGACTGTAGATTAATGCCATGAGATTTATTTATTGTTCATTTCTCTTCTTTCAAGAAACAAAAGGAAAAGGTCACCTCAACTCTTACATACTTCATTATTTAAATAATGTGGTAGAGTGTATATATATGGTAAATAATTTATATTTTCTATTAAATTGTTAGACAAATCTGTTCTGTGAATAACATCAAGGCTTAAACGCATCAGCATCATCATGTACCTTTTGTAGAAGGACTCACTGTTGTTGTTGGATCAACTGGAGCTGTAAAGATGAATGTTTGTTCAGATGATTCATAATGTACAATATTATCATATTGTCACAAGTTAAGGATAACAGGATAACTTTTAATACTGATCAATGAGAGTGTTTTCCCACCTGAATACTTGACAGTGTATGTGACTAAGGTCTGGAGTTGATTTCTGAGAGTAAGCCGACATCTCCACTCTCTGTTGTTATCTTCATTCAGGAGTGTTGTAGTCAGAGTGATGATACAGCGATATTGATCTGATGATATCTGATATCTGGAGTCTGTCTTCAGATTAACACCAGTCTGATTCACCCACAACAGCTCAAGTCCTTCAGAACTGACCAAATCATTACAGGAGTATCTAATATATGAATACAACTGACAGGAGAGAGTCACAGAGCGGCCTGGACTGATCTCAGTCTGTGAGGATGAAGATGATGATGATGATGATGGAGAAACTGAAACTGAACACAAGACACAAATCACAGACTCTTCAATCATCATCTGAGTTTAATAAAGAATCTGCCCTTTTTAAATTGACCATATAATCATAAACTTACCATGAAGAACATGCAGATAAACATGTACATCAGTTCCGTGATGTCGTCCGTTCACATATTGTCTGCAGGTGTAAGATCCATAATCTTCTTCTGTGACGTTCTTGATGTTCAGAGAGCAGTCAGACTCCAGACTCAGTCTCTCATGTCTCTCTGTGTCTTCATTCTTTTCCCCTAATTTAATCAGTTCAACTGTCCCTGAATCTCTGAATCTGCTGTAGATCCATGTAGTTGATTTGCAGCCAGAAAGAGTTTTATTACAGGACAGACGGACATCTACACCAGAACCGATGAACACATGATCCAATCCACTGGTGCCTGAAACACAGTAGATCTCAGTGATCAATCATTATGATATAAATTAATAAATGAAACCATAAACCATACCAGCATAACAATCAGAAGACTGAAATCATGCAGTATTTTTCATTTAAAGCAAACAACACACTCTCCAGAATAAACTATGAGTGTTTATCAGAGAGCTGTTCAAATCACTGACACACTCTTAATATGAAGATCATTCTTCATCATCAGATGTTTGAGTGACACTATGTCCAGTATCAGGAATAATACAGTATGATCTGTGTGTATCAATACACAACTCTGAGATCACAACGTGAATGTGTGCAAGAATAAACTGAGCATGTTCAAATCAACTCTTTCCAGACTAATTCCACTAAATGTGTTTAGAGAAAATACAGATTTCTTTACCTGTGAGAAGTGAAGAGAGAATGATCAGTCCCAGCAGACACAGATCACACTGATCAGACATTTCTGCTTCTGTGCGTCTTCGTCTTCATTAGATATAGTTACAGCTCTTCCTCTTGTCGTACATCATCAACTCCTCCTCTGGTTGTGAACTTCCTCTGTTTTGACAGACCGGCTGATGAAACCCTGAGAAGTGTTGCTTCACTTTAATATTAATGCTTATGTAGTAAGTGGCTCGATTATGGAGTTAATATGTGCCATAAATAAACAAACATATGAAGCATTTTGCAAACAAATTCAATCTGCTTTGCAAAGGAAAACTCGACTCGGAAACAAACAGAAAGCAATGTGCCAGTACAAAGGCCAAATTGAGCGAAAATGCAGTGGAGTAACACATATGCATTGTGCTTCGCAAATATAAATAAATTAGCCTAAATAATCTTTCACAAGTAAATACAAACCATCCTTCAAATTGCATGTAACCTTTGAACAAACAATCTGTCTGTTATAATTGTGAGACACTTGGCTTTTTCTTTTAATTATGGCACAAATAAGCTCCATACTAAAATCTTAGCGACTACGTAAGCCTGAAATAACGGGGAAAAAACAATCCAAATAAAGACTTCCACTTAGAAAAGGGCAGAGGCGTGAGTTCCTCCTCAAAAAAATATCTTTTATTAAAGCTAAAATAGTTGGCCAACAATCTTTTAAAACTGGAAGTGAACAATCAAATCAGTTATTGGTTGAATAAAACAGAAAAAAAAAAGAAAATTAGCAATAGTTATGGGCTTTGTACGTGAGAGCGGGCGAGTTCAACACAGCCAATCAGAATCACATCCAGAAAGTTGACTGCAAATAATGACACATCAATACTGAAAAAGAAATAACTAACGCCATCCCTTAAGGAAGTAAAGAACCCGCTTCAGGAAGTGCTCAGAAATAAATCAAACTAAAAAAAATTAAATTAAATAAAAACACAAATTACAATACATTTTATAAATAAAAGAACCATACGCTTTAAAGACAGAAACAAAGAGTTCACAAAAGATCACAACAAACTTAAAGCTAATTACACGTAATATATTAATATGTTAATTAATATTTCACAATGGCCGAAACCACTACTACTACTAGGCCTACAATTGATGAGACTGTTGCAAAACAGTGAGAATAACTACACCGGGGCTGGCGACAGTAGTTGATGAGTCGTTCGTGAACGATCCATTCATTGCGTCCGTCACGCGACAAATGAACGAAAGACTCGGAAGGTAAAGTAATTATATGTTCTCTGTAAATTACTTTTTACTGCATTATAACGATTTCTTAATTCAGAATATGATCAAGTTTGCGTAGGTGTGTGTGTTCGGGGAATTCGACAGTTGATAATATTTAAAGCCCCTTAAAGCTACAATATGCAAGATTGTTTCGCCACCAGGGGTCGCTAACCTCTTACAATAACAAAGGCGCATATTTATGACGCAGAATTGTGGATCTTGTCGTCAAGCTGATGGATCTTTTATGGATGAGTGAATACATTGATGTTTTTATCATGACTGTAGTATAATGCAGGGCGTGTATACCACACGCAACGCGAGTCCCGCGGAAATAAAGGATTAAGGACAAATCATTCTCCGAACTAAACGCATGTGCTGAATAACTCACACAGGTCAGTTTATTCGAGGAATTAAACTTGAGCCATTTTGAGTTTGTTATGGTGCTTTCTAAATCTGCCCTCCACTTGTATTTCGTCATATGAAAACAAGCTATTGGATGTAATGTTTTAAATTATTTTATTGCACTGTTTGTGGAGCACCTTGGCCAACTGCCGTTGTATTATGTTTGATATATATATATAAAAAAAATAAAATAAAAAAATAACAATAAAGAAAAAATATTTCTGAAGGAATTTAATTATTATGTTTCATGGTAAAGTGAAAATGTATTATTTTTAGTGTTCTTAGTAGTTTTTATTATTATTATTTTATTATACATTTTAAATTTGTAGTTAGCTAAATATGCAGGATCATTTTGCTTAATAATTAGAGTTAATTTTCGTGCATTTATAATGTCCTGGGGACAGAAATATCACACTGTCGGTGGAATGGCTCTTTTATACTTATAGATAGCAGAATATAAATATTGTAATAAAATTATCCCAAAGATAAATAATGGTAAGGAAACAATTCAATGCATAAAGACAGAAATAAATGTACATAGTAACCACTAAATCCCCTCAGTCTGCTGACACCAATGAAATGAGCTTTAAGTGTCAATTTACAGGAGATGTGAAGACATCAGCATAATAAATGAGGTGAAAACAGGAACTATTGTCATGAAATAAAGAGTGTTTTCAGCATATCTGTTAATATTGACGATCCTCAGACTATCAACACTCATTCAACAAGCCATTCAGGATCATCAGCAGATCATCTCACTTTATTCTGAGTAGACAGACATAAATGCTTAACAGGTTAAAGAACGAATATTTTTGCAACCTTTCATTATCTATTGTGTGGATATGTGAGTATTTAACGAGTCTTGTATTGATCAGTCGCGGGTATTGTGAGAGTTGTTTGTTGTGTAGGTTCGCCCTCTATTGGACAGAGGCGACAGTGGCGCTCATTTACTGAATCTTCCCGCTCGTTTCTTAGTCTGCATTTACTGGACTGAGAGAGGTACGTGTTCACATCAGTGCGATGTCCGCTTGAAATATACCGGTTGAAACTTTAACTTTAGTACACATGGTAACTTGTACTTGTATTTTATGATGAGTGAACATACTTTTAGTGAAGATGTGTCGAGAACTGCTGTTTTGAGTGCTTAAGAAATTGCTAGCATAGCTCTCCTCATGGTTTGTTTTGCTGTATGCTAGCGCGCTCGCCGTTTTATCGTCTTGTAATGAAGCCCACATGTTTCAGTTTTCCTTTTTCTAATGTTAGGCTGATTCTGAATGGAGATATAATCCTGAATTTTTGCTCTCTGTGAAATTTTACAGGTATGTAGACTACTTCAGATACCTGGTTTAAAATATAATGTATTCATATGAAAGTTTTCTTGTATTGATTGGTGTCAATGGCGCTGAACAGCCCAGATGTGAAGCCTGTACATTTTGATTCATGCATGTTACTGTGTGTAAACTAGTGAAAGGAAGATGGTTTATTTCATGATGCTTAATGTAAAACATTATCTTTATTATAACGTCAAAACGTCATTACCCATAGTTAATAACAGAAATAACTCACAATATGACAGATACACATGGTAAAAACAAGCCTAATGTGATATGTTCATTTTTCATAGTAATTTTTCTGAATTTTATTTTCTGAGTTTTGAATGTGATAAAATACTGAGTCTGCATTTTACTCGACTGATTCTCATTGAAGATCGTCAGTGTCCTGTCATTAGTTTACCAGAACACAACGCAGGAGTCAGAGAAGTGCAGACCGCACCAGCTACACTCAGAAGTGTAATTTATTATAAAACAAACTCAGTAATTGATACTTTTGATTTTGGCAGATCAGCTCCCCCATCTCTGGAATTCATCATCAGTGAAACTTCTCCCACTGTTGTCACATCATCAGCGAAGCTCCTCCCACAGTAATTCAGCAATAAATGCTGTAAATTCCCATCAGCTACAAGTGAAGACGAGCATCAGGAAGAGCTGAAATCTGCAAAGACTGAGTTTATTAAAGAGGACAGTGAGAACATGAGTGATCCAGAACCCTGCAGAATGAAACACACTGAAGATCCTGAAGAACAAAGAGGTTGGTGTTTATTCTTCATTCATTCATGATGCTGGAGAACATTCATGTTAGAAACATTCAAGCTCTTCATCACATTTAGATAGAGAGTTAAACTATCAAATGCTACAGAATGTTCTGGGTTTTCTTCAACAAATGGTCAGTAAAGGGATTTTTATTGATTATCAATATTAAATCAAGCTAAATACTATTTTACATTTATTTTATGTCTGGTTTTCAATTTGCAACAACGTTACCAGAATTTATTTTTGTAATTTTTAACAATTATATATTTTTTTAAGAATAATCAGTAAATACAAGTTACTAATGATGTTGTATTTTTTAAATATCACACAAGTTATTCATAGTTATAGAGATTCCTCTCACAGTAACTTTGGTAACAGGGTTGATGAATGCAGTCAATGCTACGGTTTGTGTAAAAACGATAACGATGGATTGAGATTATTTTCTCGTCTTCCCATCAAGAAATGTTGTGTTTTTTAAAGGATGAAAGTCATGTCAGGAGTAACAGGGTTAAGTGAAACATGTAGGACACAGATCATGCTGATAAAAATGGTTTATTTAAAGGGTTAGTTTGATATTTTACACTTAACGCTTAACGTTTCTGATGAAATAGAACGGTTAAGATTGAAATTTGGACAAATGCTGCTGTCCCGAGAATTGTAGTTTTCTGTGTTAGCACCCACACCTACACAATGGTTGTCTATGTGCACTGGAACAATCATTCATAAAACGCATTAAACTTTAGTTTACAAAGACGTGAAACTCACCGAGTGGTCTGGGGGTGTTCACTGATATGCTCACACAAATATCGCTGCAAAAGATGCTTTCCAACAGGTTTTATCGTAGTTTTTGTACCAAGTCAAGTCGGTGGAGTCGGACTATAACTACGATAAAACATCTTTTTACAGAAGCTAGTTTTGAACCCATCTATCCTTTCATCTATCTATCTATTTCAATTAATGCCGAGTTCAGACTGTACGATTTTCAAAGTAGTCGGGTCACTGTTTTATTCACACCGCATGACTATCTTGGCCAGCATTCAGTCGCTGCATGATTTTACTATAGAATCGCCGAGAACTCTGTCTAGCACGCTGCGTGTAAACTACGTTTCACAACAAACACAGGCGAGATTTGACAAGGAAACAACGCTCATGTGCAAGACCGGTTACAGCTCAGATGAAACGTCAAACAGACACGAGTGCTCCTGCCAAATTTCTACTAATTCTTCAATTTCTCAAAACCTGTCGGCAAGCCAAAATCGTGCAGTCTGATCTCGACGTGACCCTTTACAGTTAGTTAAAGCCGTGGCCACTCTACACTGTGAGCATGTGAAGTTTCTACACACACTGCAACGGTCGTGAAATGACGTCACATTCTGCGGCAGCTTTTTCACAAACAGAAATTTATTGAATGATAATGTTTGTGTTATTTCTCTCCGGGTTATTCACTTGAGCTTGTGTTTCTGGTGTCCCACTTTCACAGACTCATGAATGGAAGTCAGTGTAAGGAAAAGTCTAGTGTGGACGGCCATTAATAATTAAAACATTTTAGTTAAATAAATATCAATCTCAAAGTTGGTGTCAAAATATGGCAGTACATTTTAATGTTAATATTATGTTGGATGATTGTGTCGTTGCTAAAGAAACATGGGATTTGTGCCTATAATGTTTTAAAAATTATAATTGGATTGGAAGATAAATTTACCTCATTCATCAGTAGCACCTCAATGCAGAACATGAGATCCACGGGGAGGAGTCGGATCACGATCCAAAGGGTGGAGATGGGTAGGATTAGGGTTGGGTTTAGGGATTAGGGGGCGGAGTTGGTTAGGTTTAGGTGTATGTAAGGTGGGAGGAGTTGGATCTGGATCCGACTCCTCCCCATGGATTTCATGTTCCGCAGTGAGGACCATCTCTCATTCATGGAAAGTTTCAAGGACATGTAATCAATTTATAAAAAGGCATGACATTATCATAATAATTTCTAACAGTTGTCTATTTCGCACTTTCATGTCCTTTCACTTTATATTTCTCTCTTTGAAGAGAAATATTTTGATGTACTAAAAATTAAATGTAATAATTGTTTCTTTCCTGTCAGACCCGTTGGAAGTGAAGGAGGAGAGAGAAGAACTGAGTGAAGTGGAGGAGGAACATCATGTCCAACCTGGAGGAAAACCCTTGAGTCACTCAAAGACTAAAAATACATTTTTAAAGAAAATAAGAGCCGAGAAATCTTTCACCTGCACTCAGTGTGGGAAGAGTTTAACAACCAAACAACATCTTAATCTTCACATGATGATCCACACTGGAGAGAAACCGTTCTCATGCGATCAGTGCGGGAAGAGATTCACACAATCAGGAAACCTGAGGATGCACATGAGGATCCACACTGGAGAAAAACCTTACAAGTGTTCACACTGTGACAAGAGATTCAGTGTGTCATCACATCTGAAAAAACATGAGATGATCCACACTGGAGAGAAGCCGCACACGTGTGATCAGTGCGGGAAGAGTTTCTCTTGTAAAAGTGACCTGAAGATACACATGAGGATCCACACTGGAGAAAAGCCATACAAGTGTGTTCAGTGTGGAAACAGTTTCACATTAAAACGTAATCTTGAGGTTCACATGAGAATTCACACTGGAGAGAAGCCGTTCACGTGTGATCAGTGCGGGAAGAGTTTCTCTAATAAAGCTGACCTGAGGATTCACATGAGGATCCACACTGGGGAAAAACCTTACAAGTGTTCACACTGCGACAAGAGTTTCAATTACTCAGTCAATCTGAAAACACATGAGAGGATCCACACTGGAGAGAAACCGCACACGTGTGATCAGTGCGGAAAGAGTTTCTCTTGTAAAGCTGAACTGAAGATACACATGAGGATCCACACCGGAGAGAAGCCGTTCTCATGTGATCAGTGCGGGAAGAGTTTCAGACAATCTTCACACCTTAATGTTCACATGATGATCCACACTGGAGAGAAGTTGTTCACATGTCATCATTGTTGCAAAACGTTTCTAAGGGCATCAGAGCTGAAGAGACACCTGAGAGTTCATACGAAGGAGAAGCCGCATTCATGTTCTGTGTGTGGAAAGAGTTTTTCACTGCTGACAACTTTACATAGACACGAGAAAACTCACACTGGTGTGAGAGAGTACATGTGCTTTGAGTGTGAGAAGACTTTTATTACAGAAAATAGTTTAAAGGTGCACCAGAGAATTCACACTGGAGAAAAACCTTACAAGTGTTCACACTGTGACAAGACATTCAGTGACTCATCACATCTGAAAACCCATGAGATGGACCACACTGGAGAAAAACCTTACAAGTGTTCACACTGTGACAAGAGATTCAGTCAGGCAGGAAATCTGAAAACACATGAGATGATCCACACTGGAGAGAAGCCGCACACGTGTGATCAGTGCGGGAAGAGTTTCTCTATTAAAACTAACCTGAAGCGACACATGAAGGTCCATGCGGTGGATAAACCACTGAAACACAGTCTGAAATCACGCTAAGATGATTTTCATGTGATGAGCAACAAAGTCTCTTCTGTGTAAGTTAGCCACACATCACCCGATAGCCACATCTCTCCTCTCCACCTATAGTTGGTGTGTGGTGAGCACAGGACACTTTGTTGATTGATTGATATCTATTAGCTTGTGTTCAACCGACAGGAATGTGTAATTCGTCAGTTCAAGTCAAAGCAAATATATATACAGGGCTCTAGACTGCGATATTTGAGATATTTGGCAAATTGTTATCTGCTCAATTCCAGATGTACTGATCAATCAGTCCTTCCAGAAAAACGCGGAGTTTTTTTGTGATTGTTGCGGACAAAAATCCTTGATTACGCGGCCCGTTTTCTTTAAAAATGCGATGGAATATGCGGGATATTTATGCAATTTTATGCAATAAAATTGCAGGAACTTGCAAAAATTGCGGGAACTTGCAAAAACTGCGGTTTGATGAAAAAGAGAAAAAAAGTGATTGCCCCAACACCCTGTTCTCACTAGGCTACTACCTTAATGTAAAGAGTCATTTCTTTTTATTTCCTTTGATAAGCAAGCATACTACATCATAGAAAGTAATGGGAATATTTAATTACTCATCTTGTTTTATTTCAGACTGTAACGAGTGTAAATAAGGTGTGGCCCCTTTAAGAGCTGCGCGCTCCCTGTTGAAGTGTTATATGTGCGCCTCGAACACCCCATGTGTGCGGGTAATTTCTGTTTGATGCTACTTCCTTTATCTTATGTTGTTTATTAAGTAACGATGTGACGGTAGAACGTGTGACGGACAGTTATACGAGTTCGATTTGTGAGATATCGATCGCCTCCGTGAGTCTGTCTGGCCTCTGCAATAACTTCAGCTGTGAGCTATCCCGTCGCGTAATTGTGTCACTTCATAACGTTCCCATGGAAACGGAGAAATTGCTGCTCTCGTGTGAAGCAAACGCAACATTTTTCAACTTTCTGCTAAGATATATGTGGCTTTTTTGCAACGAAAATGCGAGGATTATAAAATCATGCAATTTATGCGGAAAGTGCGGCATATTTGAAAAAATGCGGCCCCCGCATAAATATGCGGACTTTGGCTGATTTTGTGTTGAATTCAGCGATCGCATAATCGCGTTTTTCTGGAGGGACTGATCAATAAGATGCCACCGGTTTTAATGACAGGCACCATTGTGCAGTCAATGTATCAAAATGAGCCTGAGAGTGAAATCTTTCAAATCTTTTAACTTTTTGAGAGTATTCTGTAATTAAAGATGTTTTCCACAACAGTGTAATTGTCCTTGAATTAATGCTTATAAATGCAGGGTGTGTGTACAGCCATCGCTCGTGTGGTGCTTCATTTTCAAAATTGTAAATGCATACTAGACCAAATGTCTTGTGTTAAAAATGAAAAATACTGTTAATTTTAATCATTTACAATCAACATGTGTAGAATGAGTTTGTCTGTGTTGAATGAGTGTCGCACTGCTATTTTCCATAAAGTTGGAGTTAAAACATACACAGGACCACAGAAACGCCACACGGCTACAATGTTTCACAGTTCCGTTAGCCATGTAGATGTGTTTTGTTTTGTTTTTTTCACAAATTTGTCTTTTATCATGTTTGAGTAGATATACGTCACAACCAAACGTTAGCGATCCTTAGCGACCTTCTAGGAAATGAATTCTTATCAGAGTGGCCAGACTCTCAGGTCCCGTACACACTGCGTTTTCGTTTAAAAACGGACAATTTACAAATGGGATCTCCGTCCACACCAGCGTTTTATCTGCGTATTAGAATTGATCTCCGTCCACATTAAAACGACTGAAAACGTGGATAACGTGACCATTCACCAACACTGGGCATGATCAGGATCATCAGCAGATCATCTCACTTTATTCTGAGTAGATAGACAGACATAAATGCTTAACAGGTTAAAGAACGAATATTTTTGCAACCTTTCATTATCTATTGTGTGGATATGTGAGTATTTAATGAGTCTTGTATTGATCAGTCGCGGGTATTGTGAGAGTTGTTTGTTGTGTAGGTTCGCCCTCTATTGGACAGAGGCGACAGTGGCGCTCATTTACTGAATCTTCCCGCTCGTTTCTTAGTCTGCATTTTACTGGACTGAGAGAGGTACGTGTTCACGTCAGTGCTATCCCAGATAGCAAACTGACATTGAATCAACGTGGAAATATGACATTGAAACAACGTTGATCTGACATTGTTTTGCTCATCGAATTAACGTTGAACCAACGTCAGATGCGTCATTCTTTCAAAACTAACGCAAAATCAACTTGAAATCAACGCGTTGTTTCAACGTTATGAAAGCAAACCAATTTTCGATTTCATTTAGCTTTGAAGAATGCCGCGTCTGACGTTGGTTCAACGTTAATTCGATGAGCAAATCAACGTTGTTTCAATGTCATGAGAGACGTCGTTTCCACGTTGATTCAATGTCAGTTTGCTATCTGGGATGTCCGCTTAAAAATATACCTTTTGTAACTTTAGCTTTAGTACACATAACTTGTACGTGTATTTTATGATGAGTGAACATACTTTTAGTGAAGATGTGTCGAGAACTGCTGTTTTGAGTGCTTAAGAAATTGCTAGCATAGCTCTCCTCATGGTTTGTTTTGCTGTATGCTAGCGCGCTCGCCGTTCTATCGTCTTGTAATGAAGCCCACATGTTTCAGTTTTCCTTTTTCTTTTGTTAGGCTGATTCTGAATGGAGATATAATCCTGAACCTTTGCTCTCTGTGAAATTGTACAGGTATGTAGGCTTTCCAGTCCCGGTTTAAAATATAATGTGTTCATATAAAAGTTTTCTTGTATTGATTTGTGTTCAATGGCGCTGAACAGCCCAGATGTGAAGCCTGTACATTTTGATTCATGCATGTTACTGTGTGTAAACTAGTGAAAGGAAGATGGTTTATTCATGATGCTTAATGTAAAACATTATCTTTATTATAACGTCAAAACGTCATTACCCATAGTTAATAACAGAAATAACTCACAATATGACAGATACACATGGTAAAACAAGCCTAATGTGATATGTTCATTTTTCGTAGTTATTTTTCTGTATTTTATTTTCTGAGTTTTGATTGTGATAAAATACTGAGTCTGCATTTTACTCGACTGATTCTCATTGAAGATCGTCAGTGTCCTGTCATTAGTTTACCAGAACACAACGCAGGAGTCAGAGAAGTGCAGACCGCACCAGCTACACTCAGAAGTGTAATTTATTATAAAAACAAACTTGGTAATTGATACTTTTGATTTTGGCAGATCAGCTCCTCAACTCTGGAATTCATCATCAGTGAAACTCCTCCCACTGTTGTCACATCATCAGTGAAGTTCCTCCCACAGTAATTCAGCAATAAACGCTGTAAATTCCCAACAGCTACAAGTGAACACGAGCATCAGGAAGAGCTGAAATCTGCAAAGACTGAGTTTATTAAAGAGGACAGTGAGAACATGAGTGATCCAGAACCCTGCAGAATGAAACACACTGAAGATCCTGAAGAACAAAGAGGTTGGTGTTTATTCTTCATTCATTCATGATCCTGGAGAACATTCATGTTAGAAACATTCAAGCTCTTCATCACATTTAGATAAACAGTTAAATAATGTTCTGGGTTTTCTTCAACAAATGGTCAGTAAAGGGAAGTTTGTGACAATTTTATATTGATTATCAATATTAAATTAAGCTAAATACTATTTTACATTTATTTTATGACTGGTATCCAGTTTGCAACAACGTTACCGGAATTTTATTTTTGTAATTTTCAACAATTATATTTTTTTAAGAATAATCAGTAAATACAAGTTACTAATGAAGTTGTATTTTTCAAATATCATACAAGTTATTCATAGTTATAGAGATTCCTCTTACAGTAACTTTGGTAACAGGGTTGATGAATGCAGTCAATGCTACGGTTTGTGTAAAAACGATTACGCTGGATTGAGATTATTTTCTCGTCTTCCCATCAAGAAATGTTGTGTTTTTTTAAAGGAAGAAAATCATGTCAGGAGTAACAGGGTTAAGTGAAACATATAGGACACAGATCATGCTAATAAAAATTGTGTATTTAAAGGGTTAGTTCGGTATTTTAAACTTAAAGCCCTGTTTTAAGATCGTTTCTGATGAAATAGAACGGTTAAGATTGAAATTTGGACAAATGCTGCTGTCCCGAGAATTGTAGGTCCCTTTCGTAGTCACTCCGAGTTACGTCAGGAGTGATGGAGAATGGGGGTTTCGCATAGAAAGAGTGAATTTCCTCCTCTCTATTAAAAAAGAGCTGCACGTGGCACGTCTTTTTAAAGATGGTTCGCCCGTGTTCTTCTGGGTGCGGTCGATCCATGTCATCTTCTGATGGTCACGATCGCTGCTCTGCGTGTCTGGGCATTCTGCATGCAGTAGCAGCATTCGTGGATGACTCATGTTCCTTCTGAATAAGGGGAACATGATCGTCTCTACACTGTGATCTAGACTCAATGATCTGATAAAGTGAGAGTCCCCGTGTCCGCTACTCGTTCTGCTTCTTCTTAATAGAAGCTCTTCGACTCGCGGACAGGGTGATTTGACGGTGACTGTGTGGAACAGACCCCCGACGCTAGCTCCTCGGGCCACACCCACCGTTCGAGTGTTAAGGCCTCATTATGCTTCTGCGTCAACTCCACGGCGTAGCTACGTCGTCACTGCTACGGCGTCGTGGCCGTTTTATACTTCTGCGTGAGGTTGTGGTGCATCGCGGTGCATTTTGCCGCCAGAACGCTAGGGGGGTTCGCGAATCTCTTTGGTTCCGTGCGCCGCGAGCGAAAGAGAGCGAATGTTGTTGTTTTTGCAGCTGCCACCTGGAGCTAATCGACATTGAATAACAAGACGACACAAACTTTACCTGTTCGAAATGACTTGAAGGATTTTTTTCAGTCTCCACATGGAACTGTGCTATTCAGGATAATGTGTCCCGTGGCAGACTTGGTTAGTACTGTATTATCAATGATGTAACCGTGAACATTGTATTGAAAATAAACAACAAACTGTATTTCAAAACAAACGTTGATTTATTGATTGATTGAAGTTTATTGCGAGCAAAAAAGAAAGAAAAGAATATAGACATATATTAACAATGAAATAAAAAAAATAGTTTATTTTTAGATTAATTCTTTATTTACTTTCTTTATAAGAGTATTATAATTATCAGAACGAGGGTGCAGGTGCAAATGTTAAAAATAGAGCTAATAGCGGGAGGGGGAAATCGGAAAAGCTACACTCCTGAAATTATGTATAATCTGACCAATCAAAGCCCTTGCTGTCTGCGTCGCCTCGACGCGTAGTTACAAATTTTTGGAGGTGCACGTCGAGCTACGGCGGAAGGGTCGGAGAGGGGTTCGCGTCGACGGATAGGGGTCTGCGGGGGTACGCCGTCGATTCGACGCAGAAGCATAAAACAGGCTTTAGAGCCAGCGAGCGCCGGATCGCGGCAGGGGTCTGCCTCTTCGCAGGTACCGTCTGTTTCGTTCGGCGCTCCAGAGGATGATCCGATGTCGATCGCAGCATCACAAGGCGGGCTTGATTCCTCGGGAAGTGAGGATGCGGCTGCGCTGCCTCCCTCGGGAGCGTCAGCTTCGCCGTGTCTGATCCCGAGATGAAGGCCATGCTATATCGGGCCACCGTGAGCATCGGGTGGAAGTGGAACTCCGCCCTGTCCCGATCTCTCACGGATGGATAATTGGTTTTTGGTTAAAGCAGCCGCCTCACGGCCACAGCCAACCCCAATTTCCTTTTTTCCCCCGAGTTGCATGCGGAACTGACACGCACTTGGTGGGCCCCTTCGTCCTCCCGAGAGCGCGCTTCAGCTTCCCCGCCTTTCCTCTCCTCGGCGGCCGGTTGCCCGTGGGTACACTGGGACTCCCCCGGTGAAGCGCTCTGTTGTGATGCTTCTGCGTCCGCAGAGCGCGTCCTCCCGCGGTACTCCCAAGCGCCCACCCAAAGCCTGTAGGTTCTCGTCGTCTATGGCGGCGCGATCCTATAGAGCGGCGGAACAGGCAGCCTCCGCCCTGCTAGTGATAAGTACCTGCAAAGCTGCTCAGGGATATGCACGAGGGGGGGACGGACCAAGCGAGCTGTCGCCGACCTCGCTATCAAACAGGCGACGGAAGTGGCCACTCGCTCCCTTGGTCAGGTGACGGTGGTCCAGGAGCGTCATCTATGACTTTTCAGCGGTGTGGTCCAGGACTTCGCCCAGCGGTTTTCGACCGCTCAGGAGCAGACGGAGGGGGTTATACACTTCTGCCCCGACGGCCAGCTGCTGCCTCCACCCAGCCGTCAGTTCAGACGCCTCCGCCTGCTCGCCGCAGACGACGCCCCCCCGCAGTTCCCTTCCCTCCCACGCGGCCCCAGCAGCAGCCTTCAGCCGGTTTGCGTTGCGGAGGAGGCCACAGGTGAGCGTCACAGCCCCCTCAGGCCGCGTCAGGGCTCGAGACTAACGGCGTCCTATCGTCCTGGGGACGATAGAAAATGTGTTTAGGACGAACAGAAATATTCTACAGGACGCCTACAGGACGAAAGACATTTTGTATGTGAGTTCACAGGGCTCGAATTTCGGCGCGGGTATTGCGCATAATTCTATTCATTCCCCACAGGTCTCCTAATTATAATGCGGGATATTCCCGCAATCGTAATCCACAAAGATTATAAAATGCCAGACGCAATTTCACAAACAGCGTGAGTGTTCAGCGGTGCCGCGTCTTCTCTCCTCTCAATGTTGTGGAAGGCAAGCATCAGTCACTGCTGCGAGAATACACACTCGCGTTCAGGAGTGGGACATGACGGAATATTCACTTGCACAATCGGGCAAGCAGTGCATCGTGAATGAAGTTTACCAGTTGCACGTCTTTTTAAGTCTTAGCAGTTTAAACATTCAGGCGATTTTAAACTAATCAGTGCTTGCGCGCTCTCTGGGATGACTATGCGCACATTCATAGAAAATCCGCCTCAAGAACAGCTGGCCAGTAACAAAAGTTATTTTTCACGGATTATATTGCATTTAACACTCAAAACTGTGTCAATTTCGGTCTTCGTGAGTACAATAGTCTAAATATAGTCGGTTTTGTCTTTAATAAGCATAAAACGCATGCCAGTACAGGGCTCCAGACTAACTTTTTTACTAGGAGCGCAGTTGCCCCTGACTGAAAATTTTAGGAGCGCAAGCAGAAAATTTAGGGGCACACCTTAAATCAGCTTGCAATACAATTATTCAAATTTCCCCCAAAATTACTGTAATACTGACAAATTCTTTAATAATAAATAGACTTAAAACTATGATACGCTGTTTTATTTTAACTTCACAGGGTTCCAGACTCAAAGTTGAGGGGCAGCATCACCTCAAATGAGAACTCACAGCGAGTTCTACAAAAAAAAAAAAAATTCTGGTAGCACTGGGGCTGACAATAAATCACTAAGCTTAATTTAGGATGTAGATGAAATTAACTTAGTTATTATTATTTATAATGTCTTAATATTAATTAAAAAAATAATATGTATATGGAGTGAAAATAGCCAATAAACATCCTACTGTTTACAATGGTATTATTATTAATTATTTTAGTGTTTAAATAAGAGTTTTCCAACATCTTAAATTTTTTTGCGTTTCAGGACAATCTTTAAAGGATGAACAAAAAATGTGTTGGTAACGTTAATCACATAAAAAATTTAAAAAAATAAAACATTTATATATGATATTATTGAAGTGCTGGGAAAAGATGTGTAGTAGGCTACTTGTAAGCATTTGACTTTCTTACACATTATCATATTTATGGTTAGTTAACTTACTACATTAGCCTAAATCCATGGTTCTGTTAGGCTGATTTGTGGATTGAAAGCCTTCTATAAGTGTTTCTCCTGGTTTCAACGTCAGCGCTGTTTGATCTGATATAACAGAACTCTGAGTGTTTCTCACTGGATCTCATGATGTTGATGTTAATAATTCTGAGGCGAATTCAATGGATTTCTTCACTGGATCTCCTAGTAACAGTAGTTGCATGAGCGAGATTGGCTAATCATATTTGAGTGGCGTATTTTCGTTCCACTTCCATTTAGTTTGCATTCGCTGCTAGGTAACGACTAACGAGTCGATAGATCGCTGATTACTCAGATGCACATCAGGTTGTGATATTTGTCTCCTTCCCACAGACGTTTACGCGCGCTATTCTTGTCACGGATTAATTGACGCGCCCCTTCCACGCTTTACCATGCGTTTAACGTGTGGCAAATTTACTGGTCGCACATGTGCGACTGGATGTAAAAGTCAGTCGCATACTCTCAAATTTTGGTTGCAAAATGCGACCATTTGGTTGCAGCCTGGAGCCCTGCATACAGTCCAGCTGTAGGCGGAGTGAGACAGAGAGCAGGGCGTTGCTAGCAGTCTTCATATTATTCTTTTCAAAGAACTTTATGACTACCCCTAATAACCTGGGAGTCTTCTCACCTCAGAGGTGTCTGCCCAACCACCTGCTGAGTGCCTCACACACACTCTCCAGCACACACAACAACACACAACAACAGAAACACAAGAGGCTCTCTGTTCTAGCATTCAGGAATACAGAGATCATATGGTATTTTTTTTAATGCAATGTCCATTAATCAGCCAATATTAAAATTTCCACTACAAAACAAACAACATACAAACACACACACACATACACACACTTATGCAAAGCCACGCCAACAGCGTTCCCACAGCGGTCTTGGCCAAGGCCAGTGCTGGTTGAGGGCGGCCAAAAACAGATAAGATTGGGATTGTTTGGTCTTGGGGCGAAAAGCCGCTTTCAATTCACACGGCTAATTCTTGTGGTCTCTGGTCTCCGAAACAATCCATATCCTTCTGCAAAGCTGTGAGCTTATATGGATCGTTTCGGAGACCAACATGGACCTTAAGAATGGCCGTGTAAATTGAATGCGGCTTCTCACCCCAAGACCAAACAATCCTAATCTTATCTGTTTTTGGCCGCCCTCAACCAGCACTGGCCTTGGCCAAGACCGCTGTTGGATCAACAACTCCCCTGGAAGAGCACTGCAGTGAGCCGCTCTTGCGTTTCTTCCCCGACTCCACAGACACCTGGTGATTGTTGACTCTGGCACCTGATCAAGGTTTTCTCCATGGTAACTTGCTGTGTATCGCTATGAAAATCCTGCGGACTGAGGCACCTAGATTATGATGCCAGGCATAGCGACTCTCCAGGCCTACACACACACAAACTCTTACACATATATACAGATATGCAATCACCCGCCCCACACCCCATCCCTCGCCTCGCTTTGTACCCCCAGTCTGACAGGCGGGTCTGTGACCAGCGTCCCGTACCTGTGGTCCGTCCCCCACTCCCCAACACTGTTGCAAGTTTTGTTCATGTTGTACTGATTGTGCTAATGTTGCTGAGGTGTTTTTTCCGGTTCCCACAATGCACTCCTTACAGGAGGATAGTCTGGGGGTTGCCTCTTTTCCCTCACCTCTCCTCATGTCATGCTGTATTTTCCTCAATTCCCTGTCTTCCTGTCCTGTCTACCCCCTTGTCATATCGTATATATGTTTGTATGGGCAGGTTGATGGACAATTTCGCTGGTACTTGTGACCAAGTGACACAGTTCCTTCCATTCCATCTCCAGACATAAACATAAAATTATTTTCACATGACTCTGCGGTAACGAATACATAAACATACGCTCGTATTTTAGCCATCTCCGTCGAGATATCTGGAAAGAAGCGAAGTTTCATTCCGCAAACCTTTTGTACCCTTTTCTTGTTGAGCTTGTGTTTCTGGTGTCCCACTTTCACAGACTCATGAATGGAAGTCAGTGCAAGGAAAAGTCTAGTGTGGACGGCCATTAATAATTAAAACGTTTTTGTAAAATAAATATCAATTTTAAAGTTGGTGTCTAAATATTTTAATGTTAATATTATGTCATTGCTAAAGAAACATGGGATTTTTGCCTGTTTTAAAAATGATAATTGGAAGATAAATTTACCTTGTTCATGGAAACTTTCAAGGACATGTAATCAATTAATAAAAAGGCATGAAGTTCATAATATTTTATAACAGTTGTCTACTTTCTACCATTACATCAGGGCTCACTTTCATGTCCTTTCACTTTATATTTCTCTCTTTGAAGAGAAATATTTTGATGTACTAAAAATTAAATTTAATAATTGTTTCTTTCCTGTCAGACCCGACGGAAGAGAGTGAGGAGAGAGAAGAACTGAGAGAAGTGAAGGAGGAGAGAGAAGAACTGATGGAAGTGAAGGAGGAGAGAGAAGAACTGAGAGAAGTGAAGGAGGAGAGAGAAGAACTGATGGAAGTGAAGGAGGAGAGAGAAGAACTGATAGAAGTGAAGGAGGAGAGAGAAGAACTGAGTGAAGTGAAGGAGGAGAGAGAAGAACTGAGAGAAGTGAAGGAGGAGAGAGAAGAACTGAGAGAAGTGAAGGAGGAGAGAGAAGAACTGAGAGAAGTGAAGGAGGAGAGAGAAGAACTGAGTGAAGTGGAGGAGGAACATCATGTCCAACCTGGAGGAAAACACTTGAGTCGCTCAAAGACTAAACAGACATTTTTAAAGAAAAGAATAGCCGAGAAATCTTTCACCTGCACTCAGTGTGGGAAGAGTTTCAGTCGATCATCACACCTTAATGCTCACATGATGATCCACACCGGAGAGAAGTCGTTCACATGTGATCAGTGCGACAAAACGTTTCTTAGGGCATCAGAGCTGAAGAGACACCTGAGAGTTCATACGAAGGAGAAGCCGTATTCATGTTCTGTGTGTGGAAAGAGTTTTTCACAGAGTAAATCTGTACGTATACATGAGAAAATCCACACTGGTGTGAAAGAGTACATGTGCTTTGAGTGTGAGAAGACTTTTATTACAGAAAAACGTTTAAAGGTGCACCAGAGAATTCACACTGGAGAAAAACCTTACAAGTGTTCACACTGCGACAAGAGATTCAATCAGACAGGACATCTGAAAACACATGAGAGGATCCACACTGGAGAGAAGCCGCACACGTGTGATCAGTGTGGAAAGAGTTTCGCTTTTAAAAGTGAACTGAAGAGACACATGATGATCCACACTGGAGAAAAACCTTACAAGTGTTCACACTGTGACAAGAGATTCAGTCAATCATCACATCTGAAAACACATGAGAGGATCCACACTGGAGAGAAGCCGCACACGTGTGATCAGTGTGGAAAGAGTTTCGCTTTTAAAAGTGAACTGAAGAGACACATGATGATCCACACCGGAGAGAAACCGCACACGTGTGATCAGTGTGGAAAGAGTTTCGCTTTTAAAAGTGAACTGAAGAGACACATGATGATCCACACCGGAGAGAAGCCGTTCGCATGTGATCAGTGCGGAAAGAGTTTCTCTACTAAATCTGAACTGAGGATGCACATGATGATCCACACTGGAGAAAAACCTTACAAGTGTTCACACTGTGATGAGAGATTCAGTGTTTCAGCAAATCTGAAAAGACATGAGATGATCCACACTGGAGAGAATTCGCACACGTGTGATCAGTGCGGGAAGAGTTTCGCTTTTAAAAGTGAACTGAAGAGACACATGATGATCCACACCGGAGAGAAGCCGTACTCGTGTGATCAGTGTGGGAAGAGTTTCGCACAATCTTCTTCCCTTAATGCTCACATGATGATCCACACTGGAGAGAAGAAGTTCACATGTCATCATTGTTGCAAAACGTTTCTTTGGGCATCAAAGCTGAAGACACACCTGAGAGTTCATACGAAGGAGAAGCCGCATTCATGTTCTGTGTGTGGAAAGAGTTTTTCACGGCTGCAATATTTAAAACTACATCAGAAAGTTCACACTGGTGTGAGAGAGTACATGTGCTTTGAGTGTGAGTAGACTTTCACTACAGCAAACTGTTTAAAACTACACCAGAGAATTCACACTGGAGAAAAACCTTACAAGTGTTCACACTGTGACGAGATACAGTTAGGGCTGTCAGTTTAACGCGTTATTAACGGCATTAACGCAAACCCATTTTAACTGCGTTAATTTTTTTATCGCGCGATTAACAGTCTTTTTTGTCCTAGCAAACTTTGCAGTTTTTTCACATGCTTTTGCAACAGGACGCATGCGTCCTGATCCATTTCGGCGTCTCGCGCTTGTCCACTCAAAGCCGGCTCGCAAGTCCAAACGTGTGTTTGCGGCGTGCCTGTTGTTTTGTTTATGGTCTTGATCCGCTTGCGCTTTGGTCGAAGAAGCAACAAAATGTCCTCGCCCAGCGCAAGCCATTGAAATGAATGGGTTCAGAGTGCAGCGTGAGGTCGTTTCGGCTTGCGAGCCGGCCAAATAGTAACGTTACTTTTGAGTGGATGACGAGTGCGAGATGCCGAAATGGATGCCCTAAAATTCTGAATCGAAAGTTTACTTTTAAAAAGTTGCCATATTGTCCCATTGACAAGACCAAGTGATCTGTGTGTTTTGTCATTGTGAACTGAGCGATCATCATCGCAGTACGTCCAGTCAGAAACACCACTTGATGGCCAAGCAAACACACACACACACACAGATGATGCGAATTCTCCACCCCCTCGCCAATATTAGGGCCTCGTCAGTATTTCTTTCTTTCCCCCTTTTATTGATAGCCAGTGTTACATTGTGTGAGAGATTATTTATAGGCTATATTTTAGTGTGAAATTGAACACTATTCCAGTGTTATTTTCAATAATCATTTTTCCACTTTTCCATATTGATAAGAGCATTAAAATGAGAAAAAAAAATAATGTAACAAAAAGAAATCAAGAGACATTTAGAATAGATAAAAATGTGCGATTTAATCGTGAGTTAACTATAACATTAATGCGATTAATCGCGATTAAACATTTGAATCGTTTGACAGCACTAGATTCAGTGTTTCATCACATCTGAAAACTCATGAGAGGATCCACTTTGGAGAAAAACCTTACAAGTGTTCACACTGCGACAAGAGATTCAATCAGTCGGGAAATCTGAAAACACATGAGAGGATTCACACTGGAGAGAAGCCGTACACGTGTGATCAGTGTGGGAAGAGTTTCTCTATATAAACTAACCTGAAGCGACACATGAAGGTCCATGCGGTGGATAAACCACTGAAACAGTCTGAAATCACGCTAAGATGATTTTCATGTGATGAGCAACAAAGTCTCTTCTGTGTAAGTTAGTCATCACCCGATAGCCACATCTCTCCTCTCCACCTGTAGTTGGTGTGTGGTGACAATTTTTCATACCCCTAGATTTTTTTTTATGAATAAAATGTCTATGAAGTATATTCCCATTAAGATTTACCTTTTTTAGCACACCAGGGTGACTAGGAACATGAAATTGTCCAGCTGTGACTTCTTGTTTCAAGGAGTTTAAATATGAGGAAGCACAAAGGCCAAATTCCCTGAATCATCCATCACAATGAATAAAACCAAAGAACATGGTTCTGATGTGCAGCAAAAGATTGTTGAGCTTCACAAAATAGAAAGTGGATGTAAGAAAATAGGAAAAGAATTGAAAATTCACATTTTGACCATCAGGACAATAATTAAGAAGTTAATCAACTAAAGATGTTACGATTCTGTTTACTTGCATTTAATTACAATGCAGTCTTGACCTCCGCAAAATGGCGGACCCGTTGACTTATCGCAGCAACGTTCCAAAGCGGCCAATAGGGGGTCTATGTATATATTATGTCTATGTTCCTGCCTCCTTCTTCCCTGAACCTTACTACAGTAATGTTTGAAATTATTTTATTCCACTGTTTGTGAAGCACCTTGGGCAACGGCCGTCTTATTATGTGTGCTAAATAAAAAAAATAAATAAAGATTTCTGAAGGATTTTAATCGTTATGTTACATAGTAAAGTTTAGAGATAGAGAGTGGGGACATGCTGAAAATGTGTGTGTGTGTGTGTGTGTATTCTTAGTTGTTGTTTTTTGATTTTTTTATTATAGCCTACATTTTAAATTTCTAGTTAGCTTAATATGCAGGATCATTTTGCTTAATAATCAGAGTTCATTTTCATGCATTTATAATGTCCTGGGGACAGAAATGTCACACTGTCGGTGGAATGGCTTTTTATACTTAGATAGCAGAATATAAATATTGTAATAAAATTATCCCAAAGATAAATAATGGTAAGGAAATAATTCAATGCATAAAGACAGAAATAAATGTACATAGTAACCACTATCCCCTCAGTCTTCTGACACCAATGAAATGAGATTTAAGTGTCAATTTACAGGAGATGTGAAGACATCAGCATAATAAATGAGGTGAAAACACGAACTATTGATAATATATGAAATACAGAGTGTTTTCAGCAGATCTGTTAATATTGACGATCCTCAGACTATCAACACTCATTCAACAAGCCATTCAGGATCATCAGCAGATCATCTCACTTTATTCTGAGATAGACAGACATAAATGCTTAACAGGTTAAAGAACGAATATTTTTGCAACCTTTCATTATCTATTGTGTGGATATGTGAGTATTTAATGAGTCTTGTTTTGATCAGTTGCGGGTATTGTGAGAGTTGTTTGTTGTGTAGGTTCGCCCTCTATTGGACAGAGGCGACAGTGGCGCTCATTTACTGAATCTTCCCGCTCGTTTCTAGTCTGCATTTACTGGACTGAGAGAGGTACGTGTTCACATCAGTGCGATGTCCGCTTGAAATATACCGGTTGTAACTTTAGCTTTAGTACACATGGTAACTTGTACGTGTATTTTATGATGAGTGAACGTACTTTTAGTGAAGATGTGTCGAGAACTGCTGTTTTGAGTGCTTAAGAAATTGCTAGCATAGCTCTCCTCACTGTTTGTTTTGCTGTATGCTAGCGCGCTCGCCGTTTTATCGTCTTGTAATGAAGCCCACATGTTTCAGTTTTCCTTTTTCTTATGTTAGGCTGATTCTGAATGGAGATATAATCCTGAACTTTTGCTCTAATGGCGCTGAACAGCCCAGATGTGAAGCCTGTACATTTTGCTTCATGCATGTTATGTGTGTAAACTGAAAGGAAGATGGTTTATTTCATGATGCTTAATGTAAAACATCTTTATTATAACGTCAAAACGTCATTACCCATAGTTAATAACAGAAATAACTCACAAATTGACAGATACACATGGTTAAAACAATGTTATTTTCTGAGTTTTGAATTTGATAAAATACTGAGTCTGCATTTTACTTTACTCTAAGAGAGACTGATTCTGATCGTCAGTGTCCTGTCATCAGTTTACCACAACGAAGTGCAGACCGCGCCAGATACACTTACAAGTGTAATTTATTATAAAACAAACTCAGTAATTGATGCTTTTGATTTTGGCAGATCAGCTCCCCCATCTCTGGAATTCATCATCAGTGAAACTCCTCCCACTGCAAATACATCATCAGCGAAGCTCCTCCCACAGTAATTCAGCAATAAATGCTGTAAATTCCCATCAGTTACAAGTGAAGACGAGCATCAGGAAGAGCTGAAATCTGCAAAGACTGAGTTTATTAAAGAGGACAGTGAGAACATGAGAGATCCAGAACCCTGCAGAATGAAACACACTGAAGATCCTGAAGAACAAAGAGGTTGGTGTTTATTCTTCATTCATTCATGATGCTGGAGAACATTCATGTTGGAAACATTCAAGCTCTTCATCACATTTAGATAAAGAGTTAAACTATCAAATGCTACAGAATGTTCTGGGTTTTCTTCAACAAATGGTCAGTAAAGGGATTTATATTGATTATCAATATTAAATCAAGCTAAATACTATTTTACATTTATTTTATGTCTGGTTTCCAATTTGCAACAACGTTACCAGAATTTATTTTTGTCATTTTTAACAATTATATTTTTTTAAGAAATAAGAATAATCAGTAAATACAAGTTACTAATGAAGTTGTATTTTTCAAATATCACACAAGTTATTCATAGTTATAGAGATTCCTCTCACAGTAACTTTGGTAACAGGGTTGATGAATGCAGTCAATGCTACGGTTTGTGTAAAAACGATGACGATAGATTGAGATTATTTTCTCGTCTTCCCATCAAGAAATGTTGTGTTTTTTAAAAGGATGAAAGTCATGTCAGGAGTAACAGGGTTAAATGAAACATGTAGGACACAGATCATGCTGAAAAAAATGGTTTATTTAAAGTAAGGTTAGTTTGATATTTTACACTTAAAGCCCTGTTTTAAGATCGTATCTGATGAAATAGAACGGTTAAGATTGAAATTTGGACAAATGCTGCTGTCCCGAGAATTGTAGTTTTCTGTGTTAGCACCCCCACCTACACAATGGTTGTCTATGCCAGTCATTCCCAAAGGCGGGGTCCCGACCCACAAATGGGTCGTGGAAGATTTTGAATGGGTCGCCAAGTCGAGCACTATTTTTCAGTGTGCTATATATACTCTCTAGATCAGGGCTATTCAATTGGCGGCCCGTGGGTGAAGTGCGGCCCGCCATTAATCTCCATACGGCCCGAGGGCACCCCAACCTCCCTCCTCCTATTTTCTAGTGGTGCGGCTAAATTTGGTTAGATATGCGCGTGGCCGCAGTGGCGCGTGCAGCTGGACGACTATACGCACTGTGTGTGGCGCTCCGACTGACCTGAGAGAAACGTTTACAGTCCGAATATTTCAGCAGTCCTTATCTGTGTCCCGTATTTCTGTCGACTGAACCAGCGATATTAATCATTCGTTGGTTTGATTATTTCCTTTCCATGAATTGGCCAAACGCGCGTGCATAACGGTCTGAAACGATTTGGATTCGTTCACCTGAAGCGTTTTCTCGGTCAGTAATAACAAACAGAGAACAGAATAGCGCTGGGTTCAGTTGTTTCACTAGTTTACTTTGAACTAGGCAGCACGGGCCAGTGGATAACGAAACGCAAAGCTTAAAGGAGTCGCGTTTACTCCCGGTCCCGGACACTATTATTATACAGCGTTGTGAAATCTAGTGAGAAGCGTTGCGGACACTCTTACAAACCATAAATCATTTTATCTAGTTTTAAATCGGATGAAACAGCCTTAACATTCCCAATAAATGTGGAATATTTATATTGAATACTATGTTATAGTCATTTATATTGTATTAGATTTATTAGGGGGGTAGATGATTATATACTAATTGTGTGTATAGTTTTTTTTTTTACCTGTTTAGGCATTTTTTTATACAGTGGTAGTGAGCCATGCATGGTTACAAAGTCTCACTGTCAGGATATTTTAATTTAAGCCTATAATAATTATTATAGTATATTGTGTACACTGTAATGATGAGAATATGAAAACAGTGAGATGCCCTGTCAACTCTTCATTTCTCATTTCACCTCTGCATTTCGCTTATTGCCAACAACAGGTTAATAAAAAAAGTGCTTTGTATCTGTATCTCTTTTAAATAGTTAACTGGAAGCTTAAGTGATCTTAAAAATGGTCATACATATTTTGTTAATGCATACATTCTCTTTGTGATATATTTATTTATTTATCCTTATGTTTATTGGGTCACAAAGATTTATCGACTTTAAAATGGTCTATGCGCACTGGAACAATCATTCGTAAAACGCATTAAACTTTAGTTTACAAAGACGTGAAACTCACCGAGTGGTCTGGGTTGTTCATTGATATGCTCACACAAATATCGCTGCAAAAGATGCTTTCCAACAGGTTTTAGTGTAGTTTTTGTACCAAGTTTAGTTTAGTTTATTAAGATCCCCATTAGCTACTGCAACTACTGGGTCTATAGACTTCAACACACACAAAAAAATTCTTATAACATAAAACCATACATTATATAGACAAAAAATGAGTGTAAACATTCATACTAACCATACAGCAATGTACTAAAAAAAATACAGTTCATACCTTGACTTGTTGAAACTTTATTCTTGAAATAAGAACTTAAATGATTTGCAATATCACTGGGTTTAGTCAAAAAGGATCCGGCAACTTCAATAAAAGACGGCACTATTTCAGTTTTTCTCCCCAAATATCTATTTTGTTTTTCTCTTCCAAAATATCCTGAATCTTATTTCTCAGACTAAAGATAATTAAAGATGCTATGCGTAACCCTTTAATATTTAATCCATCTTTTACCATAACCGTTGTTTAACTGATTAAAGAAGCTCACAGCTTTGCAGAAGGATATGGATCGTTTCAGAGACCAACGGGGCTTCTCGCCTCAAGACCAAACAATCCCAATCTTATCTGTTTTCGGCCGCCCTCAACCAGCACTGGCCTTGGCCAAGACCGCTGCTGGATCAACAACTCCCCCGGAAGAGCACTGCAGTGAGCCGCTCTTGCGTTTCTTCCCCGACTCCACAGACACCTGGTGATTGTTGACTCTGTCTGGCACCTGATCAAGGTTTTCTCCATGGTAACTTGCTGTGTATCGCTATGACAATCCTGCGGACTGAGGCGCCTAGATTATGATGCCAGGCATAGCGACTCTCCAGGCCTACACACACACAAACTCTTACACATAAATACAGATATGCAATCACCCGCCCCACACCCCATCCCTCGCCTCGCTGTGTACCCCCAGTCTGACAGGCGGGTCTGTGACCAGCGTCCCGTACCTGTGGTCCGTCCCCCACTCCCCAACACTGTTGCAAGTTTTGTTCATGTTGTACTGATTGTGCTAATGTTGCTGAGGTGTTTTTTTCCGGTTCCCACAATGCACTCCTTACAGGAGGATAGTCTGGGGGTTGCCTCTTTTTCCTCACCTCTCCTCATGTCATGCTGTATTTTCCTCAATTCCCTGTCTTCCTGTCCTGTCTACCCCCTTTTCATATCGTATATATGTTTGTATGGGCAGGTTGATGGACAATTTCGCTGGTACTTGTGACCAAGTGACAATAAAGTTCATTCCATTCCATCTCCAGACATAAACATATAAATTATTTTCACATTACTCTGCGGTAACGAATACATAAACAAGCTTATAATCATTTAGTTATTATGAACATTCAGTTGTACAGTCTCACAAAATTCTTCCTGCTACCTCTTATTGAGCCTCTTCCTTGTCTTGTTTTTCCAACTCAGGCTCTATGACCGTCTTTAGATACGTCTCTGCAGCTAGATGGTTGGAAAACTTTTTCGTATTGAAAGTCAGAATCAAGGTGGCAGGGAACTACACTGCGACCAAAATGGTCGCATATGCGACCTTTTGAAATCCCATTGCGACCCTAATTTTTTATGGGTCGCAAATGTATCACTGACTATTTTGACGGGTCGTTTTTTTGGGGTTTTTTTGTGTTTTTTTTGTTTCTTTCGGGTTGTATTTAATCTTCTAAAACCTGTCGGATCGTCCGCTTTTTGTCCCGCCAAAGCCTTTTTGATCGGCGAGTGTTGTATAATAGAATGACTGATGCGTTTGACCGGGCGCTAACGAGCTGAGAGCGAGAGCGTGCGCACTATCACGTCTTCACACAACATAAGCGCTGTCTTGCATGCTGTCTCTCTCATGATAGGACATGATAGTAAAAGGTTTGTGTCTTTATAATAGGCATGCTAATCACAATCATATAGGCTACCATCTGGGCCTGCATGGCGGCAGGAAAAAGACGCAGAGATGTAAGTCTCTACCTTGCGATGGTTTGGTACACCAAGGCTGATAAACTCTGCCATGGAGAGTAAAATTTGTTATTTCGTTTTTTGTCCAAAACCCACTTTTGCGAACTAGTCCCTGGTTTTTTGCCCAATACTATTCTCTGGACTCTCTAGATAAATAATTATCGAAAAAAGTAGAACTTTTGCTTTTGATTGGCTTTAACAGAGTCGTTTACAAAAGAGGGGGGACAAAATGCACCCAAAATCATATAAATCCTAAAGGAAAACTCTTTTGCTCTTTTATATATGCTCATCAGAAATTGAAACATGCCGAAGAAGCATGCACAGTTTCATGGAGATCGGACCATAGGTGGCACTATAACTGTTAAAAAGCTGTAAAACCATGCATTTCCAATGTTAAATTGCCTGTATTGATTGTAAATGGTGTTTTACATCTATTATGTCTGTGGATAAATGCATGTTAAATAAAATTGAATGCCTTTCGATGCGTTTGTGCTTAAAGGCCTGGACTGCTTGAACACCGATAAATGCTGCTTGCAGCTTTAATAATTAAAACGTTTTTGTATAATAGTTATAAAGTTGGTGTCTAAATATTTTAATGTTAATATTATGTTAGATGATTGTGTCATTGCTAAAGAAACATGGGATTTGTGCCTATAATGTAATGTAAAATAAAGATAAATTTAGCTCATTCATGGCAACTTTCAAGGACATGTAATCAATTAATAAAAAGACATGAAGTTATCATAATATTTTATAACAGTTGTCTACTTTCTACCATTACATCAGGGCTCACTTTCATGTAATAATTGTTTCATTCCTGTCAGACCCGATGGAAGAGAGCGAGGAGAGAGAAGAACTGAGTGAAGTGGAGGAGGAACATCATGTCCAACCTGGAGGAAAACCTTTGAGTCGCTCAAAGACTAAACAGACTTTTTTAAAGAAAAGAAGAGCCGAGAAATCTTTCACCTGCGCTCAGTGTGGGAAGAGTTACACATATAAAAGTGAACTGAAGATTCACATGATGATCCACACCGGAGAGAGGCCGTTCTCATGTGATCAGTGTGGGCAGAGTTTCAGTCAATCATCAAGCCTTAACGTTCACATGATGATCCACACCGGAGAGAAGCCGTTCTCATGTGATCAGTGTGGCAAAACGTTTCTTAGGGCATCACACCTGAAGACACACCTGATGGTTCATACGAAGGAGAAGCCGTATTCATGTTCTTTGTGTGGAAAGAGTTTCTCACAGAGTCAATCTGTACGTAGACATGAGAAAACTCACACTGGTGTGAAAGAGTACATGTGCTTTGAGTGTGGGAAGACTTTTACTGCAGAAAAAAGTTTAAAGGTGCACCAGAGAATTCACACTGGAGAAAAACCTTACAAGTGTTCACACTGCGACAAGAGATTCAATCAGGCAGGAAATCTGAAAACACATGAGATGAACCACACTGGAGAGAAACCGCACACGTGTGATCAGTGCGGGAAGAGTTTCTCTTCTAAAGTTGACCTGAGAAGGCACATGATGATCCACACTGGAGAAAAACCTTACAAGTGTTCACACTGCGACAAGAGATTCAATCACTCATCACATCTGAAAAGACATGAGAGGATCCACACTGGAGAGAAGCCGCACACGTGTGATCAGTGTGGGAAGAGTTTCTCCGGTAAAAGTGACCTGATGATACACATGAGGATCCACACTGGAGAGAAGCCGTATGAATGCCATCAATGCGGGAAGAGTTTCACATCCAAAAATTCTCTTAACGATCACATGTTGATCCACACCGGAGAGAAGAAGTTCACATGTCATCATTGTTGCAAAATGTTTCTTAGGGCATCAGCGCTGAAGTCACACCTGAGTGTTCATACGAAGGAGAAGCCGCATTCATGTTCTGTGTGTGGAAAGAGTTTTTCACAGCTGCAATATTTACGTGGACATGAGAAAATCCACACTAATGAAAGCGAGTACATGTGCATTGAGTGTGAGAAGACTTTTACTACAGCAAACAGTTTAAAACGGCACCAGAGGATCCACACTGGAGAAAAACCTTACAAGTGTTCACACTGTGACAAGAGATTCAGTCAGTCAGTAAATCTGAAAACACATGAGAGGATCCACACTGGAGAGAAGCCGCACACGTGTGATCAGTGCGGGAAGAGTTTCTCTATTAAAAATAACCTGAAGCTACACATGAGGATTCACACTGGAGAAAAACCTTACAAGTGTTCACACTGCGACAAGAGATTCAGTCACTCGGTAAATATGAAAACGCATGAGATGGACCACACTGGAGAGAAACCACACACGTGTGATCAGTGCGGGAAGAGTTTCTCTATTAAAACTAACCTGAAGCGACACATGAAGGTCCATGTAGTGTATAAACCACTGAAACACAGTCTGAAATCACGCTAAGATGGTTTTCATGTGATGAACAACAAAGTCTCTTCTGTGTAAGTTAGCCACATCACCTGATAGCCACATCTCTCCTCTCCACCTATAGTTGGTGTGTGGTGAGCACAGGACATTTTGTTGATTGATTGATATCTATTAGCTTGTGTTCAACTGACAGGAATGACTGTTATATTTGAGATATTTGGCAAATTGTTATCTGCTCAATTCCAGATGTTCTGATCAATAAGATGCCACCGGTTTTAATGACGGGCGCCATTGTGCAGTCAATGTATCAAAATGAGCCTGAGAGTGAAATCTTTCAAATCTTTTAACTTTTTGAGAGTATTCTGTAATTAAAGTGTAAATCTCCTTGAATTAATGCTTATAAATGCAGGGTGTGTGTACAGCCATCACTCGTGTGGTGCTTCTCCAGCACAAAATACATTGTGAGGTAGCTGTGTTATTTAGAAAACCACACTGTGCCAAACTGAACAGATTCTGTAATTCCTGTCACAAAACAGGCCATACAGAGGAAAAGTGCTGGTCATTGGGCAGCGGCAGACCTAAACCCTATTTCATAAGAGAGAGCCCGACCGATAAAGGATTTTGATGGCCGATACTGATACAAATATTTGTTGGTTTTAAAATCCGATATATCGGCCGATATTTATATATTTTTTTTACATTTCAGAAACGCGCAACAAAACATTAACAGATTTCGCTAACATTAGTTATTTGTATGAGTTTTAACTAAAATAATATGATAATTCATTTTAAAAAGAAACTTGCTTCTTTTATTGTCACAAGAGAACAGACTGATGATAGTGGCATTAGCTAGCTTTGTGGTTAGCTAGTCTATGATGAGCCATAATTTAGCAATGGATAACGTAAAACCTAAATTGAAAAACATGCATTTTTAATATAACAGGCCAAGGAGAGATGATGCGTCTCATTGCTATAACTGTCACGCGCTATTAAAGAAATACTTCAGTCACATTGTCAAAAGTTAAAAGGACAGTCAGTCAACTACACTGTAACGTAACTACTAGCTAATTCCGCTTCTTTCTCGGCTTATTTAACAGCAGCAAAACTGGACATGATGGTCACAAATGTTGTCATGCTTATTTGAGTTAAGTGAACTGATGGGGATGATCTTTTAATTGTTATTCAAACAATGTATGTCTCGTGACCAATTCAACGAGTGTTGCCAACAGGAACGGTGTAGAGCGCCCTCTGGTGGACAAACTATACAACTCCAACACTCATGATATGGTAGAAGCGTGTTTCGTCTGTTTTTATTTTATTTTTGAAATATTCATTTATCTGCCATTATAACTGCCGATACCGATAGTTTGGAAAATGCCTAATATCGGCCTGCCGATAAATCGGTCTGGCTCTACTTTACACACTGAGTTAAAATAAATTCCTCTTCTTATTGTAACAGCACATAAACTGAATTATTTTCTTTACTGAAACATCATACATCAGATGTATGCATTCAACTAAGTATTTAATTTTTTGCTTTTGTCTATTTTTCCATCTTTGTTTTTTGCCATCTTACAGTAACACCGTGTGCATTTCATTTACTTTTCATTTGAGACTTTTTTGTTGTTGTTGAGGTCTTTACTGTTAATTATAGAAGCTTGTTTCTGCCACAGAATGAAAAATAAAAAAGGTAATTGTTGCTTTTTATCTCACAATTCAGACTTTTTTTTTTCTCACAATTGCGAGTTTACATCTTTATTTCTTTAAAGTCAGAATTGTGAGATAAAAAGTTGCACTGTCTTTTTTTCTCAGAATTGCGACTTTATATGACGGAATTCGGACTTTATCATGCAATTCGTAATTTATCACGCAATTCTGACTTTATATCTCGCAATTCTGACTTTATATCACGCAATTCTGACTTTACATCTTGCTATTCTGACTTTATATCTTGAAATTCTGACTTTATATCACGCAATTCTGACTTTATATCTCGCAATTCAGACTTTATATCTCGCAATTCTGACTTTATATCTCGCAATTCAGACTTTATATCACGCAATTCAGACTTTATATCACGCAATTCGGACTATATCTCGCAATTCGGACTTTATATCTCAGAATTCAGACTTTATATCTCGCAATTCTGACTTTATATCTCGCAATTCTGACTTTATATCTCGCAATTCAGACTTTATATCACGCAATTCAGACTTTATATCACGCAATTCGGACTATATCTCGCAATTCGGACTTTATATCTCAGAATTCAGACTTTATATCTCACAATTCGGACTTTATATCTCACAATTCAGACTATATCTCGCAATTCAGACTTTATATCTCACAATTCTGACTTTATATCACGCAATTCGGACTATATCTCACAAATTTGACTTTATATCTCGCAATTCGGACTATATCACGCAATTCGGACTTTATATCTCACATATCACGCAATTCGGACTTTATATCTCGCAATTCGCACTATATCTTGCAATTCGGACTTTATATCTCAGAATTCAGACTTTATATCTCACAATTCGGACTTTATATCTCGCAATTCAGACTTTATATCTCACAATTCTGACTTTATATCACGCAATTCGGACTATATCTCACAAATTTGACTTTATATCTCGCAATTCGGACTATATCACGCAATTCGGACTTTATATCTCACATATCACGCAATTCGGACTTTATATCTCGCAATTCTGACTTTATATCTCGCAATTCTGACTATATCTCACAATTCTGACTTTATATCTCACAATTCTGACTTTATATCTCGCAATTCGGACTTTATATCTCGCAATTCTGACTATCTCACAATTCTGACTTTATATCTCGCAATTCTGACTTTATATCTCGCAATTCTGACTATATCTCACAATTCTGACTTTATATCTCGCAATTCTGACTATATCACGCAATTCTGACTTTATATCACTCAATTCTGACTTTATAACTCGCAATTCTGATTTTTTTTATCTCGCAATTCTGACTTTATATCTCGCAATTCTGACTTTATATCACGCAATTCGGACTTTACATCTTGCTATTCTGACTTTATATCTTTAAATTCTGACTTTATATCACGCAATTCTGACTTTATATCACGCAATTCAGACTTTATATCTCGCAATTCAGACTTTATATCTCGCAATTCAGACTTTATATCTCGCAATTCAGACTTTATATCTCGCAATTCAGACTTTATATCACGCAATTCTGACTTTATATCACGCAATTCAGACTTTATATCTCGCAATTCAGACTTTATATCTCGCAATTCAGACTTTATATCTCGCAATTCAGACTTTATATCACGCAATTCTGACTTTATATCACGCAATTCTGACTTTATATCACGCAATTCAGACTTTATATCTCGCAATTCAGACTTTATATCTCGCAATTCAGACTTTATATCTCGCAATTCAGACTTTATATCTCACAATTCTAACTTCATATCTCGCAATTCTGACTTTATATCACGCAATTCGGACTTTACATCTTGCTATTCTGACTTTATATCTTGAAATTCTGACTTTATATCACGCAATTCTGACTTTATATCACGCAATTCAGACTTTATATCTCGCAATTCAGACTATATCACGCAATTCTGACTTTATATCACGCAATTCAGACTTTATATCTCGCAATTCAGACTTTATATCTCGCAATTCAGACTTTATATCTCGCAATTCAGACTTTATATCTCACAATTCTAACTTCATATCTCGCAATTCTGACTTTATATCACGCCATTCGGACTTTACATCTTGCTATTCTGACTTTATATCTTGAAATTCTGACTTTATATCACGCAATTCTGACTTTATATCATGCAATTCAGACTTTATATCTCGCAATTCAGACTTTATATCTCGCAATTCAGACTTTATATCTCGCAATTCAGACTTTATATCTCGCAATTCAGACTTTATATCTCGCAATTCTGACTTTATATCACGCAATTCAGACTTTATATCTCACAATTCAGACTTTATATCACGCAATTCAGACTTTATTTCTCGCAATTCAGACTTTATATCTCGCAATTCAGACTATATATCACGCAATTCAGACTTTATATCACGCAATTCTGACTTTATATCAGGCAATTGCGACTTTCTATCAGGCAATTCTGACTATATCTCGCAATTGCGACTTTATTTCTCACAATTCTGACTTCAAATCTTGCAATTGTGAGTTAAAAAGTGGAAATTATTTTTTTATTTTTTTAAAATTCAGTGGTGGAAACAAGCTTCCATAGTTAATTACATCAACTATTGATTGAAGTTCATCAAGTTTAGGTTTGAAAACAACACCTTTTTGATTTTCTTTAAGGCAATTTATTCATGTTTCAAGAAACCGTATTAGAGATTCTAAAACTTTTCTTTTTGACTCCATATGCATTGAAGACCCGGGAACCCCTTATCTCAAATCATATACCACAGGTTCCTGATTGTCAACTCTTTTTATTTGTTCAATTCATATCCACCGCATTCTTTTCCCTTTTTTTTCATGTGGAATACTACGATGCCTAACAATTTAACTACTACATGTTGATACTCCCTTAAAAGTTGTAACCTTTTCATACTTTTGCATACTTTCATACATTTTTTATATATTGTTGTTTTGTCATCTAGGACTGTGTTACCAAAAGAATGCCTTTTTCAGTTTTCAGAGCTTGCTATTGTCTGCAAGCCATTTTCTCTACTTTGTAACTTTGTATAGTGTTTTTATAAAGCAAGACACGAGAGGTTTTTGTTGAACTATTTGTTAGAAAATATGCAGTCTTTGGGAGTTTCCGCCAGGGGATTTCTGATAACAAATCCTAGGGAGTTTCCAGGAGATTTATGGAGATGTCAGAGAGTTTGATGGACTGGAGAGATGATGTCCAGCAGACGCTGATTCCCCAAAGACGGCCTCTCGGTTAGATGCCTTGCCATTGCGCCTCATGCAGTTCA